ATGCTTTTTCTTCTAAGTATTGTGTATGCGAAAGAATCTACTAGTACAACCTAGGGTTAGTTGTATACAAACTAGGTTAGTAATATACCCAAACCAAACCTATACCTAGCACGTGCTACCCTACCTATACCTATACCCAGTCACGTGCTACCCTACCCTACCTATGGTCCGTGCAACCCTACCCTACCTATACCTATGGTCCGTGCGACCCTACCCTACCTATACCTACGTCCGTGCGACCTATACCCTACCTATACCCTACCCTAGGTACATGGTACCCATCCGCCAGTCTACTGTGAGGTACGTTAGAAGTAGTTTCTAAATAATATTACAGGCTGTACTACAGTTTGCAGCGCCAATTTAGGTTGTTTTAGGCCATAATAGGGTGGAGTTTAGTGGGGGCTTGGCAAAAGTGATTCTCTCGCCCGTTGATTCTTTCGACCGTGGGGTACGTTAGTGTTGGTGTGGTCTTGGCAAAAGTGAGCAACTCGCCCGGGTGAGCAACTTGCCTGGGAGGTACGTTAGTAGTAAAACAAAGCTCTATTAACTTAAAGAGGAATTCTAGTACATTGTAAACACACAATGAGTACTTGAACAGCCGCTAGTGGATTAGAGGAAACTTTTGCCAATCGCAATTTGATGGCTCACTTCGCACAATGACTCGGACAGGTCCACTGCGCTGCGCATCAGCGGTGGTCTTCGAAATGCTACAACACGCGACAATCTTTCTGTTCGCTTGTTTTCTGGGGAGAAAGAATGACAGAGCTTGAAGCTGCGTTGATGATTTATCCACATTGTAGCGTTCGGCCCAATTCGAAACACCAGTTCTGATAAAGATGTGCATCTCTGAGCAATCAACATTGTGAGATCGCCTTGTCACCACTATCACACATACTGCAGAGTTAATGGCGCAGCGACGCGCGAATGCGTTGATATCGACCACCCATGACAACTCTCACATCACAGGCCAGATGTTAAGCATTATCTATCGCAAAGCAACTCTTCGCACATGAAGCTTCCGCGTTCGAGCGCTGCTCGACAACGATGAGAAACCCATCCAGTAACCCTGGACAATGCAGTACCCCTGAACAGTTCCAATCAGGCCCTTATCCTGATCACGACTTCACCTCCACCCTCCCCAAATGCCCCACAAATCTGCCATGCACACCCCTCCAATTCTCCTCACACTTACCCCTCACCGTCCCGGTCAACAGCCGACTCGCCTTGATCTCCACATCCTCAATCAGACTCCACTCGCCCTCACCTTCTCCATCTGTCCACTCCCCAACCTCGTCGCCCACCACATTCCCTATCTCGCCATTCAAATCCGCCCGCTTGACCACGCGCCAGGTAGTCCTCTGCAATAACCCCAGCGGCGCTCTTATGATCCACTCAATCCCGTTGTCTGTATTCGTGATATCCGCTTCGAAGGTGACGGTGGTGTCCCAGAGGCCTTTGGGGAGGGTGTGCATGTTGTCGGTCACTTTGTAGCGTTTTGTGTCTGGTGCTGTGGGAGATGAGGGGAGTGTATCGTAGTGTGCGAGTTCGGGGTCGAGACGGATGAGCAGGTCGTGGTTGTGCAGGCAGGAGAGTGCTTGCGCGAGCGTTGTGGAGGGTGGGAGGTGGGTTACGTGGTGTAGGGTCGCGGTGGATGTCAGTGCTGGCAGTATTAGTGGGTGTTGGGAGAAAGATGGGGGGACGTACAGAACATGGTCGTGGTGTTGGGTCTTCAATCAGCTTGCTGTGCTGGGTTTCTATCGGCCTGCTGTTGTTTGCGAAGACAGGTGTTTGTCACATGCGCCTCGACGCGCTTTTGGACTAGATAATCAGGAGACAGATTGGAACAGACAAGAATGCTGGCAGGTCACGGTTGATGTGCACGGGACAGCAGAGGAGTGGAGTTGGTGTCGTTATTGTAGCGTTACCGTTTCATCATAGATCGACATGTTTGGACTTCGGCGGTCCATTTACAGTCTAGGCTCAGACGTCAACTCGTGTCTACATGCGCGAAGATAGTCCTGAATAGCGGTCCCTAGACCTCTAATATTGTTGAGCTTCTTCGATGTAACGGGTGATGTTGACGTTGAACAGGATGGTTGCGGACGTCGGAGGTGCCTCAGGTGGATGGAGCTCAAGCCGCAAATGTGGGGAGCTAGATGCTTCATGCTGGGGTCAGGCACTCCACCCCTTCGAAGACCTGATAGCTTCACTGTGTTTCTCTATATCTCTGTAGATCGTTACCGGGCAGTTTCGAGGGTGTGAAAGATCAATAATGGCTTCAATCTTCAACCAAAGGACCCCACCAGGTCTGTTCATCGCGCAAGCACTCGGTATCACCGCGAGCGGATATCTTCTCGGTCAGTAGCTGCAAAATCTCCCCGCAAATGCATAGTTGACAGTCTAAATCAAGGCTCGAATGCAAGTCTGTCGCTGATCGCTGTGCCTGCGGTAATGCAAGCGCCAGCCCCCCTCGCTGCGAAGCAATGGTTCACCGTCCTCACAAAAGGCGGTTCCTACGGCAGACCGCTCGCCATCATCAGCGGGCTTGCAAGCGCATATGTCGCCTACAACCGTACGTGTACCTCGATCGTTGTAGCGCAAGCAGCGTTCTGACCAGCGAATAGAGGACTCCTCATCGCTGCCCTTCAAGCTGAATGTCGCAGCCGCCATCCTCATCCCCGGCATCGTGCCCTTCACGTTCGCCTTTATCGTGCCGTTGAACAACAAGCTCGAGGAGAGGATGAGGCAGCTCGAGTCGAAATCGCTGGAGGACAAGGCTGTTGAAGTTGGCGTCGCTAAGGAGGAGACCACACACGCGCTGATTGACAGGTGGGGCGTGCTGAACCTGGCGCGCACCGGTCTGATCGTTGCGGGAGTATTTTGCACGGTCGTTGCAGCGCTGGACAAGAGGGAGGTTGTTGGGTTCAGCGGTGTTGGGCTTGGAAGTGGTGCAAACAGGCTTGGGTGAAGGAATGGGTGTCTACTTGCGCTGCGCCAGACGCCCAAATAGCAGAGACATTCGGCTGCAAGCACATTTTCGAAGTAAGACGAGAGCCAATATAATCGCCACCGTCTGCCCGCGTGCTCACATCAGAGTCGCGATGTGTTGCTCTTATCGCACCACAGGTCACGCATGCTCAAGTCTCAGATGCACTGCCAATCACAGCTCCTATCGACGGTGAGCTGTCCATGCGTAAGCGTAAGCCTCAGGCCTCATCTGACTCTCCTTCGCCCAGGCTCACTCACGGAGATGTTCAGCCAGCTTTCGATAAAAACATTGAAGTTCACGATCAGCAGCAGCACGACAGCGGCAGACAACAAGGGCCTGCGCCGTGCGCCGTGTCCAGCGGCTCAAAGACTGGGCCCGTTCCTGCGAATTCGACTAGTGTGGTTTGCCCTGCATATCGCGGCAGAGATGAGCCGCGGCGGAGAACCGACCGAGAGTTCATCCTCAGCATCTTAAGCCTTCATCGCTGAACTGGGCATGAGACAGTCTGGAGGAATCCAGACTGCATTTTGGATGCTGGGCTTGTAAACGACTGTCCTCGCCTCACGCGGCAGTGTTCGGCGCAGAATGGTCGCTTGACTGAGCGCCGCCCAGAAGTTGGTGTGCTGGTGATCCAGGAAGTGGCGGCACGTGGCCCGGTGGGTCGCGCGTTCCTATCGAACGATAAGCAACGGCTGCCCGCCGCCGTGAAAGGTGAGCCTTGAGACACAAGATCTCGCATGCTTCAGCATTCAGCACATTTTGAACTGAATTCTCGCCCTGAGCTTGCCCCAGGCCTCAGGTGAATACACTACTGCTCCGATAGTCCTGCCTGTCCGAGTCTCGCCTCCGCGGCAGAGGCTTGTTGAACCACGCCTCGTGTGTTAGCTCTCACATCGTTCCTCACGGGCCTCCATCCCCGCTTTCTAGAACTGGGGTTGGCCGCGGTCTTTTATTTCCCCTCGCCTTTGGTCTGCAGCTCAAACTGTAATTTGGTTCCTGGACCTGTCAGCCAGGAGTTCTGAGTCTTGTTTCCTACATCGAGACATACTTGGACCCTTCTTCCCCGCACGCTTCGCTCTCCATCGCCGAGGCCGTAATTCCTAACGGCAGAGCAAGATGGAGCCAACGTCCATTGACGCCGTGGTCCTCGAGCATCCGGAGGGGATGGAGATGCCAACGCCTGGCACGCCGACGGTTGACGCTCTTCCGACCAACCGACCGACGAAGCTCAAGGGCAGACAGCGCCTACTCAGCGGGCTGCAGCGCATGGGTTCGTCGCCGAGTCTGAGCCTGGCGACCATAGGGCGGACGCGCTCACACAGCCTGAGAAGCCCGCTAAAGGTCTCCATGTCCTGCGTCTCGCTGGCCGGGCCAGGCTCGCCATACGACAACTCGTTCGGCAGCTCGTATTCCTCGGAGCTGTCCAACGGCTTCTCGACGGCACCCACGTCTGTCGCCAACAGCCCGCCGGGCAGCCCCGTCTACGATGAGAAGTACCGTCTGCGAATGAGGACGCCCCATGTCGCGTCTTCAGTAGGCCTGCCGTCGAGCACGCGGCCCCACTCCAGGGCAGGCTTGGACGCAGAGGGCGACTACTTCTCGCAGCCCATCCGGAAGACGGCGCCAAAGAAGCCGGCCTTCAACTTCTGGGGACACATGCCGGCTGAGATCCGTATGCAGATCCTGCAGTACCTCACTCCGAAGCAGATTGTGCGATGCTCGCTCGTGTCCAGGTCGTGGCACGCAATGTGCTTCGACGGCCAGTTGTGGAGCAACTTGGACACCAGCAAGTTCTATCGACACATCTCTGCAGATGCCCTGATAAACATCATCACATCGGCTGGACCGTTTGTGAAGGATCTCAACCTCCGAGGCTGCGTTCAGTTACGCGAGCGATGGAACAGGAATGGCTTTCTCGAGGCTTGCCAGAACCTGGAGAACTTCTCGCTCGAAGGATGTCGGATCGACCGAACGTCAATCCACACCTTCCTTCTTTCCAACACGCGTCTCGTCCATGTCAACCTGTCTGGTCTGGCTGGTGCGTCGAACGCTGCGATGAAGATCATTGCCACAAACTGTCCGCGAGTCGAGCTTCTGAATATCTCCTGGTGCAACAACATCGATCATCGAGGGCTGCTTAAGGTCGTCCAGGGCTGCCCCAAGCTGCGCGACCTGAGAGCTGGCGAAGTGCGCGGTTGGGACGATGTCGAGCTGATGACCGAGCTGTTCAAGCGCAACACTCTGGAGAGGCTGGTCCTCATGAATTGCGACAGCCTCAGCGACGAGTCCCTCGCAGCTCTTATCGAAGGCGTCGATGAAGAGATCGATGTCCTCACCGAACGCCCAATTGTGCCGCCTCGCAGACTAAAGCATCTGGACCTCACCCGCTGCCGCACCATCACCGACGTCGGCGCAAAGACTCTCGTCGATAACGTCCCATTCCTCGAAGGTCTGCAGCTGTCGAAATGCGGCGGCCTCACAGACGACACACTGACCTCGCTCTTCCCCACACTCCCCGTGCTAACGCATCTCGATCTCGAGGAGCTCGATGTGCTCTCCAACGACGTTCTCAAGAGCCTCGCCGGATCCCCCTGCGCAGCCCACCTCAAGCACCTCTGCATCTCGTACTGCGAGAACCTCGGCGATGCGGGCATGCTGCCCGTGCTGAAGTCCTGCACGGGGCTGACCTCGCTCGAAATGGACAACACGCGCATCTCGGACCTCGTCCTCGCCGAAGCAGCAGCGAGCATGCGCGCGCGCAACCGCCTCGCGCGCGCCCTGTCCGGCTCGGAGCGCCCACGCGTCGGCCTGCGCATCGTGGCCTACGACTGCGCGAACGTGACGTGGACGGGCGTGCGCGAGGTGCTGTCGCGCAACGCGGAGATTAGCCGTCCTTCTGCGGCGCTGAAGGTGCCGGCGACGTTCCCCCGCGAGGTCATCGCGCTGAAGTGCTTTTACAGCTGGCAGCCGACGGTCGAGGAGCACACGAAGCGCGTGCTGCGCGGCGACTTTGCGGCCGCGGCGCGGCTGGAGCGTAAGTGGGCGGATTGGATGATGATGAACGAGGAGGCGGGTGTTGGGGGTGCGGGCGCGCGGAGACGCCGGAGGAGGGCGCGAGAAGCGCAGATGATGCACGCCGACGAGGAGGAGGGCGGGGCGGGGACGACTGGTGGAGTTGGCCGGCGACGGCGGGCAAGGAGTGGGCCTGGAGGGTGTCTTGTCATGTGAGGTGAGGTGAGATCATGGGTGAGCGATGTGGCATTTTCTTGACGAGCTGTATGTCTCTTTCGAATGTGTTTACATGCATCATATAGAGGCGCAGGCGTTTTGGGTCAAGGCGTTGGTGTGGTGGTGATTTACACCCATCACATGGCATATTTGTTACGAATCACATAGGTCGAGCGATGCTCCCTTATTCTTAGTCTGCGTCTCGTGTCTCTTCACTACAGGACCGTGAGGAAAAATAAAACGTGATACAGCAACAATACACAAGCAGGGTATCTCAAATCCAAATCCGAATCCTACTCCAATCCACATCCAAATCCACATCCAAATCCACATCAAGTCCACACCCAAATCCAAATTCAACCCCAGATTCGCATCCAAATCCAGAAACACCAAGGGCCAACCCCAGGCTCAGCACATGCGGTACTCAAAACCCAAAACTCAGCTCATCCTCACTCTCCCCCAGCCCATCACTGGCCCCATCATACCTCACCCGCGGCACATCCCGCAGCCCCCTCGCCCCGCCGCTGCTCCGTCGCGCTCCGAGCGTGAGCCGCAAGCGCTTGATCTGCGTCGTGCTGCGCCGCAGCCTCCTCTCGCCCTGCCTCTCGCCCTCCACGGACGTCTCCTTGGGGAGATGCGGATAGAACGCGACCGGCGAGAGCGGCGGTGTGATGTGTGACGGTTTCGCGCGGATCAGGACGACGGGGGAGGATGCGCGTGTGCGTTTGCGTTTGCGCAGCGCGGTGGAGTGGGGGCGTTTAGTGGGCGAGGACTGGAGGGCAGGGCTGGAGGGGAGGATTGGTCCGACGGCGCTGTCGTGGTCTGAGTCTTGGACGCAGTCCTCTTCGTCGTCTGAGTCGGAAGCGGAGGATTGCGCTGGAGTGGGGAGCAGTGTCAGTGCGCGGATTGGGCGTTGGTTCGGTCGTGCGTGCGCTTTGGGGAATGGCGTGCAGGCGACCCATTCGCCGATGCCGTCTTCCCATCTGAATCCCCCGCCGCTGGCGGCGCTGGACGGTGTGTCGGTCTTGCGTGGTGTGAGCATGATGACCAGGCGGCCTGAGGTGCGCATTTGCCTCTCAACCTCGTTCGCGTACTTGAGGTGTTCGCGCTCGTCGGTGTCGTTGGCGAATTCGGTGGCGGACTCGAGGGCTATGCGCTTCAGCGTCCAGAGCTTGTGGGGCAGGCGGTGACCGGTGAGGCCTGTCATTGCTTGGATCAGACGCTGGAATTCGACGAAGCCGGAGTCGTGCCAGATGCGGCCGGTGCCGCGTGCTATTGCTGAGATGAGCAGGGGGAGGGTGGCTAGAACAGTTGAGGAGTTGACGCCGTTCGCTGAGTATTGCCGCATGACGGAGCTCATCTGGTGAATCAGTGTGGAAGTAGACGGGTCAATGAGACCAGAGGACGCGTCACAGGCGTCGAGATGTACTAAGAAGGAGCAGAAGACGGTCCAGCAGGCGCGCTGCCCGAAGATCTGCAGGTCATCCGAGTCCGCATCCAGCAGCCTCAGCTCAGTCTCGACATCAGACCGAGTTGTAAGGGCGATGGTGATAGCGTCCAGTGTGTGTGTAACTCGCCGCGCAATAATTTCACCGGCGCCATCCTCACGGCGGCCGTTGACAAGAGCAATGCTGCACAGCACCGTGAGGAGACTCAAGAAAGTCGTGTTCAGAGCCTGGCGTAGACCCTCTCTCGAAGACGGCACAAAGCGCCGGGCAGTCGCTCCCGTGACTTTGTCCGCAAGAAGACGCTCGTCTGGCAGACCCATGCCAGTAAGCATGCACGTCTCGAGGAAGCGCGAACAAGCTGGCAACGTACGCTGGTCTCCTTCTGTGATGGTGCGCACCAGTCGGTCCCAGATGGGGCGCATGCGAATTGTTGCCAGCCACTCCAGAGGCAGCAGCTCGTGTGCAACCATGTGCTCGAGGAGGTCGTAGAGGAAGCGGTGACGACCGGTGCGGTCCACGAAGGATTTGGCAGTCGACAGATAGACTTGGTTGTCGCCAAAAAGATCCGCTTGTACATTCAGAGGAATGGACAGCGGCTCGAGCAAGGGCAGGGCGGCCACAAGCATCTCCTCAGCCTCGTCGTATGCACCCACAGCCAGGCAGTGGCTGTGGAAGTACCCCAGGCTCTCCAAGCCCAGTATCTCGTCTTCTATTGCGCTGCAAAGCAATGACGTGGCATGCGCGCGTACCACGTACTTGAAGGGCCGCCAGCCTTGTCCCCGTCGCTGCTCGAAGCGGGTCTCCAGGTCTTCGTAGATCTCGGTCGCAACATCCTGGCCGTCCGACTCGTCCTCGTGTTCCAGGTGGTCGATTTGGGCGAAATGCTCCTCGAGCTCGATGTACGCTGGGAGCTTCTTCAGGCATGCGCTCATCAGCGAGCCGGTCCCTTTCCTGCTCCTCTTCTCGTGTGTTGCGTGCAGGATGTTGGCGTAGGCCTCCAGCATGCCCACGACCAGCTTCTTCACGTCCGCCGGCACCTGCGGCCCAAACCTCTCGGCGCGATCGAGCGTCGCCACGAGGGGGCCGCGGTTCTTGGTGTGTCTCCTCAGTGGCGAGTCCGGCGTGAGCGGACTGTCCAGCATCCGGCCGCCCATGCGCGCAATGAGCGGCGTGAAGGCAATCTCGCCCGGCCGCGCACCACGGTCGGCGCCCACATTGCACGTCATCGGCGCGGCCAGTCTCTTCGCCTTGCGCCCGCCATACGTCTTCCTCGCGCCCTTGTTGGCGCCGGGCCTCCAGTCCGGGTCGCGCGCCTTGTCGAAGCTGCGGGGCTTGTGCGCCGGGCGTGTGAAGTTGGTCGTTTTCTGCGGCGTCGCCTTGGTCGCAAACGCCGAGGACGTCGTGCGCGGTTCCTGGTGCGCCGTCCGCGGCAGCTCGAGCGCCTTGCGCAGCTTCGCAAGCTTCGACGACAGCGGCCGCAGCAGCCGGTTGCACCGCGACACGTTCCAGGGGAGCACCTCGTCGCCGGCCATGATGATGCGAGTAAATATGCTTGCTAAGACATGTAGCTGTTCATGTGCTGCTAATTGGTACTATGGAGCAATGCGGGGCCACTGAGGCTCGCTGTTGTGCTGGAGAGGTCCCCTGCATTGTTTGTTGTCGCGACCGCTCGGTACCACCTCGGCCAGACCCACACGCGCTGGCCGCACTTCCATCCTTCACCACTGAGTCCCCCAACATCGACCATTTCACCGGCAGCCATCGTTTCGGTGCATCTCCCCAGGCACTTCGAGTCTTGGTGCACGAGAAGCTTGTTTTTAATCTCAAGCAGAACATCTGATACACGTCGATCTGGTGATCCTGACAGCACTGAGAAACAGTTTTGAATCATTGATATCGATGGATAATATCAGCAGCTCTCTGGGTGCCTCTCACTTTACACAAAGCTGTCGAGTACTTCTGTAATCCGGTCTCAGCACCTAATACGACACACTTCTCTCTCCTTCTTCTACCTCCGCCTCTCTCGTCGCCTGAGCGCTACTACCACTCCTCTTCCACGTTGACGAAATAACACCCATCAATCCCGCCCCCGAGATCCCCAGCCCCCTTCTGCTCTCCAGTGGTGGCGTCGTGACACCGTCTCGAAACCATCTAACCGGGCTGCGTGTCCGCACCGTCCACTCCTCGACCGGGTATGCTGGATGCGGACGGTACGCTGTGAACGAGGTGAGATCCTTCTTCTGCGGGAGCGGCAGCGGGCGTGATGATGGCTGTGGCGCATGGAACTTCATCGCTGGTGGCATCGAGAGGCGGTGTGTGTCGAGACGGCTGCGGCCGCGCAGAGATTGTGGGCTGCCTGTTAAGACCTCTGACGGAGCACCACGGGGGACGTAGGTACCGGATGCGGCGATTTCTCTGTGCGGGATGTTGTTGTCGGAGTCGATGCTGCCATCAAACGAGGTGGCGGTGTGCTTATTGCCCTCTTTTGTTGTCGTGGTATGAGCCTCTTCAACCCAGTCGTGGACTGAGATGCTCTTATCGGTCGCCTTGAACATGTCCTCGGGCTCGCTGTAGACGATCCTCATTACCCCCTCTGCATATTTACTGCCACTACCGTTAGTGCTGCCATCTTCAGGTTCGATGACCGACATGTCGTTTCCCTCGCTCTCTGCATAGTACTCGTTGTCCAGCAGCCCCAATTCGCGCAGCTGCTCCCACGTACGGTAGCTGTACCGGAACGTCGCGAACGGCTGATCAACTGGGTCGGTGAGCGCAAACTTGTAGAAACGCTTCGGCAGCTCTGGACCAGCGCGTCCAGCGTTGACAAGGCTGCGATGCGGTGGTCAGTACTATTTCTGCTCACGGCGTCTAGCGCACACTCACCTGATGCCGCCAGCATTCGTTGCATGTCCCGTCTTCCCATACACATCCATCTCTCGCTCGACTCTCCTTCGTCCACTAGCGCGGTGCACCCTGATCTCCATAGACCCGTCCTTCACCCTGCCCTCTTTATCTGGCGCACTGAAGCACAGCACCCTCTTCTCGACTGTCTTGCCATTCCCTGCATCGAACAGTCCAAACATCGTCTTCCCCATCCACCTATTCTCGCTGCCCGTGCTCCAGCTCACCACATGCTCGCCATCGACGTACAGCTTGAACAAGAAGTAGTGGCCCTCAGGCACTGGAGGTGAGACCGAGTACACGATCCAAAATTGACTGCCGGGCAGCGCGGGGATGTAGACTGAGCATGTCGCGGTTGAATCGTTGATGAGCGGGGCCATTGTGGGGTGGTCCAGGGCAGGGGCAAACGGCGAGGTGGCCGGGTAGTATTCGGGGAGGTTTTCCATGTCGAACTGGGAATGCAGCGCGATGTTGATGCTGCGGTAGGTTGGCATTCTGGCGATGGGGGTTGAGATGTGCGACGTATTGCGGTGACAGGTGTGGAAATTGACGTGGAAAGTGCGAGTGTTTGCATTCTCGCCAGCTGCTTCACTTTCACTTCGGCCCTCGGTATGCGTCGATCTTTGTGATGTTTGACACGCATCGTATGGATACTGAGCTGAGATGCTGAAACGCCGCTGCACGGACTTACTTGCCCAGTTGGTACGTGGGTTGAGCTGGTCACTGTGGGCAGAGCCACCAGGAGTTGTCCTTGTGCTTATACCTCATACCATTAAACACATTATGCCTGGACTGTGAGTCCACCCAATCTCTCAATGACACGATACGGGGCAATGATTGCAAAGTTCCACTCGAAGAGCATAGCATTGCACGATTGCAGCAGGAGGTGAGAGTGTTCATTTCATTCAGATTCCGCAACCGATGTCCTATGCTACGAAATCCAGAGCGTGTGATTGGGCCTCTAAATAATATAAAACCCTGTACCTCCTTTCGGAATTCTGCAATATCATTCTCGTAGGTGGTAATTTCACCTCGAATATGTATTTCCGTGGACCGAAAAAGCTCGCATCTTCGAAAATTGGCAGCGCCTTTGAGAGGGAGGCTGCAGGAGGTCAAATCAACCTGGACATCACCACTTGTTCAGGGAGTGAACGCACGAATACTCTTCATATCATAATGGTATTACACTTTGAAGATCCAATTGAAGGTCCAAATTTTGACAGTGTGTTAGCCTTCTACTTGCCACCGTTTTGGCCGCCCTGATCAGACACAGCGCCACGACGGCCACCGCCGAGATCGTACGTACCCTGAGTTCTAGAATCCATCGATCGTTGGTGTAGCGCTGTTTTGAAAAGATTTCATTGGATTGTTGGTTGTTGTGGTTCTGTGACAGAGCTGCTGGGGACCTTTCATGTATTTGGGCTGCGCTGAGATATGTGAATTCACAATGGGATACAGTGCTCGGGTTGCGTAAAAGCGTGACTAACCAAGTATGAAACGCCTGAGTTACCATACGCGGATGGGGAGAAGTCAGCAAGATGGGTAGCAGGCGAGACATGTGCTGCTGTGTCGTAAGTGAAGGGAGCAATACATAGCTAACAACGTGCGCCTTGGCAAGACAATGAACTCCACAAACTCTTTGCCGCTTCAACCCGAACTTTCTCTACCACACCATTGCCTTCGAAGACAACTTCAGATCTTTGAACGTTTACCACTAATCCTAATATGACCAAACCGTGGCGCGAGCCTGGCGCAGCGCGTCAGTGGGGTATCATCAACAACATCCTGAAGTCGGGCTCACAGACCCCTCTTTCGAAAGAGCCTGCGCATCGTTCTGAGCAATCTCGAGATGTGCGCAGGCGTGCGCATACTAACGGTAAGCACAACGGTCAGTCCCGCTCGTCACAGCATCCCATTCGCGGCGTCCAAAGCACCTTCCATCATCAGGAAGACCGGCGCCGTTCGAAACGTCTTCAGCAATCCTCTTCAGCCCACTCCGATTGTCACTCAGACCGGTCACATAACAGAGCAGAGCATCGTCGCAACAACCAACGACGTTCGAGTTCACCGCAAATAGAGCAGCGACGTGATCAAAGTCTCGTGGAAAGCTATGCACCAAAGCCTGTACAACAGCTAGGAGAACCGAGAACCACATCTGAGGCCACGAAAAAGGACGATCGGAGTGATCAACGCAGTTCCGGCAAGCGCAAGCGTACGGCAGCCGATGATGGCAACGACGCAGAACGCATGGAAGCGGCGAAGAAGCAACAAGTCAGCCATACCAATGCAGATCGACCCAAACAACCGCTGTCTTACGCACACATCGACCAGAAGAGCGTTACATCGAAGTCGACAGCTATCACGATAGCTCCTATTGGTAAGAGTCAGTATCATTCCAAGCCGAAGACACCAACTCAGCTCCCTACTCCTCCATTCAGCAACGGCACCCCGGAGCGTGAAAGCCACTATGATTCGGCCTTGAGGACGAACCACAACTCGACACCTTCCCCAGTGGTCAAGTTTCGCCGCGACCAAGACTCACCGCAATCGATGGGCACCCTTTCAACACAGAGTAAGAAGAGACAGCGAGATGAAGAATTCGATCCTCGCGAAGAGCCCCAGCGGCTGCACCAGCTGAAAGTCAGCAGATCAGGCGGATCACCACCGACTCCGCAGCAAGCCCGTCCGGCTTTACAGCCGCAGGCTCGCCCAGTGCGACCTGATTCCTCGTTCGCACCAGTGACTCCCAATCATGCATGTGAGCTTGAGTTCCTCGACTACCTCCACGACAGCGTACCGGTCCTATACTCTTCGATGATCAGCCACAGCTCGAATGCCGACTTTCTTAACAATCCTTCAGGTACAACCGTCGTAAACGCACTTGCTATCATAGGACCAAGCATAGATCCAATTGCGAAGCGTGGCTGGCCCTCCGCCATCGAGCTTCCCGGTCGTACCCCGAGTCTGATCAATCCGGTCAAGGTTTTGATAGAAGTCGACCTCTACCTCCACAAAAGAGAGAGTGACCTATGTGTGGCAACAGATCGAGGTCTTATCACTACCAAAAACTATCTAAAGCTCATCGGCGTGCCAAAAGATCAGCCAGTGAGGTTCGAGGGCTGTGTACCATCATGGGCGAGAGCTACCTTTCGTACACCCGAAAGACGAAGAATTATGCTGCCAAAAGAGGGCAAAGACCCAAGGAATTTTGAGATCGTAACGAACGGTACAGCGCTTGGAGCCCATCAGCTTGCGTTGGCATTGGACAGCCACGCGGAGGTTGCGGAGGAGCGTCAAAACCTAAAAGAGTGGGAAGAACAGGCGAGAGCTCAAGCTCTAGTCGGAACAGATCGCCGGCAAGCAGTGAAGAGCTTCATGTCTGGAGATAAGACGCGACAGAGGGACAAGAATGGAATACCAGTACCACGGCTCGGTGAGATGCTGATTCTGAGCGCAGAACCTGGGTATCTGCCGCTTCGCGCCGGATCGATCGTGCTTGTGTACGCAGTCGATGACGATAATGAATGGGCATATGGTCGACTGAGCGGCACCGACAAGATGGGCCGACTTCCCATCGAACATACATGCCCGATCGACTGGAGCCTGGATGGGTTTGCAAGAACAAATGACAACCTCGCTCTTGCTTTGCCAGACTCCGAGGATCCCGACGAACAAGATTGGAGAGGACTATATCATTCGCTGCGACACGGAGGATATGCCTGCGGGCCGACCTGGCAAGAGACACTGGACGCAGGCGCAGCTAAAGCGCGAGACGACAAAGCGCTGAACCTGGCTGCCAGCAGATTTTTGATGAGGACCAGTAATTCGTTCGCCCCCGGGATATGCAATGAGCAAATTCAGCAGGCTGCGTGCCAAAAGCCTTCGAGCGACAAGCCATCGCACGACCCAGCTCCCACGGCTCATGCAGCGACAGTACCTTTGACGACGACTCTCACAAGTGCTACGACCAAGAGCGAAATAGGAGAAGCGATGCCTTTGATGTTGAGCCCCAGTATAGATGAAGATGCTAAGGGCACTCAAGTCGAGGGAGATCAAGCCGACGCTCATGCTACTCGCGTGCGGTCCGTTGAGGATGTGTCCAAGAGTGAGATCGAGACAGAGTCCTTCTTAGGGACAGTTAAGACTGATGATGTAGATGGGGCAGCCAAGCCCTCCGAAAGTGAACAGCAAAGGGCTGCCGGTGCCGGCGTCGGCCGTCAGGAGGCAGAAGAGAGGGAATACAACGACAAGGAGATCGAGGTCGAACTCGGCTTTACAGGCATCTCGACAGAGAAAGAATGTGATGCAAATACTGCTGAATCGGTCGCATTTGCCGAACTCGGGGCATTTGATGAAACGACTGGAGAGGTCGATCAGGAAGTTGAGGAGAAAACATCAAGAGAAGCGGTCAGGGTCACGACTGGGGCTGCTGATGCACCTACGCATCAGAGCTCGTTCGCTAAGCCGCGATTGTATTTATGGGCTCGAAACGACGATATCGAATGTGACTGGGGCGACAGCGAAGAAGAGTTGTGAATAGTTAGTACGGACTTGCTTTCTGCCATAGGACCGTGACGGAGCGCCAGCTTGGAGAGATGTCTCACGTGAAGCTTTTGGAGAAAGCAACTTTAGAAGTTACATACATACGCATTTTTGATGATCATTTCAAAACCGCGTCCCGTGTTCCTTGTGACGCAGATGGCGGTGATGGTGGCGGACCGGAAGACAACAGCACCTTTACTATTCAGCGGCAGTAGCACAATGCCCGTGCTGCTAAGAGTTTACTGGAATTCTAACTCGGATCTGCTTTCTCATGGCACCATGTTGCAGCGAAAAAGCTTGACAATATGCTCTGTCACAGGACCAGTCCCGCAGCAAAGTGGCGGTGCTAACTTATTTTAACACCGCTTAGTCATCACCAGGTGCTCATTCCTTCTCATTGACGCGCATCGACTCCATTGACTTCTTTAGGACGATCTCAAACATCAATCGAGCCGAACGATGCAATCTAATTTCCTTAGCAGTATGACAAGCAATAGCGTAGATCAGCCACTCCAAGCCTTCCGCATCGCCGGCTTGCCTCCGGACTTTTACTACATTCCAAACTTCATCTCAATCGAAGAGGAGGCATCTATACTTCAGAAGGCACGTTAGAGCTACCTATCATTTCTCGCATGCTAACAACGCTTGCATGTAGATACCCGCACAACGATGGATAACCCTCTCCCACCGTCGCCTACAAGCGCACCCGTCTACACTCACAAAGAACAACACTCTTCTCGCTGCCCCTCTCCCGACGTATCTCACAAACCCTATCGTTCTGCGCTTCAAAGATCTAGGCATCTTCGACCACACGTCGCACGAGCAGCCGAATCACGTGCTAATCAATGAGTACAAGCCTGGTGAGGGCATTATGCCGCATGAAGACGGGAAGGCGTATGCAAGTGTGGTTGCAACTGTGAGCCTAGGCGGGACGGTCTGTTTGACTCTTACGGCAAAACCTGGATCAGAAGAGGACGATGAGAAGAAGGCAAGCGCGAAGGAGTGGAAGTTGCCGATCAGAATCTTGCAGGAGCCGAGGAGTCTGCTCATCACGACGGGCGAGGCATATGAGTCGCTGTTGCATGGTGTCGATGCCGTGGAAGTCGACGAGGAGCTGAACGTCGATACGATAGCGAATTGGGATCTGCTGAGTGATCGCACAACGATTGAGGCGGCTGGCGGCCGCAACCTGAGAGGAACGCGGATCAGTCTTACTTACAGGGATGTACTGAAGGTCAGCTCTGCGGCGAACAAGGTACTTGGTGGACTGTTTAAGCGGTAAGTCGGTAGCTGAAGTATGTTACTAGGATCGCTTTGGTCTTTCGAGGTTGCCCCGAGGTCCGAAGGTTGACGATTTAACGACAGGACCCAACCTTTTGCCCGCTAAAGCCGAAAGCGCAGTTTCTATTCTTCAAGCATCTATTTACATCGACTTTGAGACAAAGACTTGTAAACAGTAACTTAAGCGCGGGCAAATTCACAAGCGGCGATCCTTCGCTCTGGCTTAATTCCACCTGTTCGGCCTCGGGTGCTGCGGACGCTACTCATTGAGGCTCACAGATCTGAGCCCTGGAAAACGTCCGTCGGACTTCTCGTACGATTATCTCGCAAACGAGGAAGATTAATACGACTTTACCGAGGACGCATACGGCAAGTTGATCAAGGGTTATGGTCTGCGGTGGAAAAGAATGTCTGTGTGCCAGTACGGACTGCAAGGCTCTGGAGTAATGTTTCGGAGGATACTGGGCGATCCTGCATTAGAGTAACAGCTGGCCTCGCATCGCTGAACTCTCGCTATGGAGGAGCGCTTCCGAGAACCCCCCCGACTTCCGTGCTTAATTACCTGTGCTGCGGTGATTGACACTTCTCGTCATCAATGTAATACGGGCCCGGTGGTTAACGATAACGCAACACAAAGCAACACAGTCTCAATCTCTCAAAGATAGCCCGCTTCAAGAAGGCTGACATCGAATACCGTGGGCTGCAAGTGTAAGCCAAGGGCTCAGCTACAGCACAAGCTTCTCGGCGATGGAGGTCTTATGCAAGGCCACGACACCCAAGCCAGACCGAGCAACTCGAGAACAAGTGAAGATGCAACAAGCGCTGGCTTATCATGAAGATACTCACGCCTTGAAAGTACTCGCCTCAAGGTATCGATGGGAGACGCAGGGTTCCTGCTGTACACCGACCGTAGTATTCGTATTGTCCTCACTGAGACTCGAGCTTGAGGCACCCTGCACGGCTTCCCGGATCGATCCCCACTTCGAAACCTTCGACCACACAACCGAACGTTCCGTTGGTTAACATGTCAGCCATGCACGACCAGCCTATCCCGGAAGACAGCCGATGCAAAACGGACGCACTCTGATAGGTCAGCTGCGGGTCGCTGACCTGCATGTCCTTAATCCTGCACACTCCGCCACCCTACGCGTCAAAGCCCAGCGCGCCCAGTGCGGCCAACACCAAGATCCTCGCGTCTCGGAGGACCGCGATAAGCTCGCACAAGTTCTAATGGTTTTTGACTCGCGATAGTCAAGCCTCACGCTGATAATGACGCGTTTCTCTTGTGTGTTGGCTCTTCATGAGGTTAATTCCAGCCTCCGCCATATCTTCGGCTCCCCGCCTCGACCGTAAAGGGACAAAACTGTCGAACGGTCATAAACAACCCCATATCCTGTGTTGTGTGTCGCGCAACCATACATTTAGTCCCTTGACCGCACAGATTCGCAACCACCATTTAGCCGCCCTGTCTGTACGCACTGGACGTTCAGGTCTCCACAACTACTAAGCCAGCAATCCACCTCCACAAAACCCCGTCGGCCTTCGAATAGCTTTGGTCTTCGAAGCGCCCATTGGCTCGGTTACTTGCATTTCGTGCCGCCTTATACGTCTAGCCTCTCGTGGCTGAATGTCAGCCGTATTAATATAACCCTGGTCTCTCTCTCAGCTCTTCTTTGTCCAGAGGAACAGCTCCTCATTCTGATTTGGGAATTCTGCGTTTCCTGAACAACGTACTTTCAAGATGCGAAGCAACAGGAAAGCGCTCTTGACTTCTGGGCTGTTGGCGCTGGGTGAGTACTTCTGCAATTGATATTTGGCTGCCACTGACGCTCGGATTCAGCCTCACGTGCCTCGGCTCAGGTCGCCAGTGTTTGTCCAGAGACAAGCGTCTGCTTCAAGCTCAACATCCCAGAGAACACAGCATCATCTGGCAGTGGAGACATATTCTTCCAAATCTCGGCTCCTAACACATATTCATGGGTAGCACTCGGCCAGGGCCGGGCCATGTCTGGCTCCAACATGTTTGTACTCTACACATCGGCAGACGGCAATAATGTAACATTGTCGCCTCGATCGGCGAACGGCTACAACATGCCCACGCTGAATAGCAATACGCAAGTTGAGCTTCTTGAGGGCTCTGGCGTGTCCAATGGCATCATGACCGCAAATGTCAAGTGTAAGCACTCACTAGCACATGTACAAGACCTACACTCACGTACGATAGGTTCAAACTGCAACAGCTGGTCAGGCGGCACTGCCGACTTCAAAGCTTCAAGTGGAAACTGGATCTACGCCTATCAGTCATCTGGGGGTGCCTTAAACACCAACGACAAGTCAGCATCAATCCGCGAACACGATCAGCACCACGCCTTCTCATGGAACTACGCCAACGCGAAAGGAGGGAGCAGCGTCAACCCACTTGTGAACGCCGCATCTTCGGGAAGTAGCACTGGATCTGGAGGTGCATCAGTCACGAGCTGCATCCCGCGACAGGGTGCACAAACCACAGCAGTTTCCGTAACAGGAACCGGTACCGCCACTGCGGCCAACCCTACGAAGACGTCAGATGATAACAGCAACGACGATGATGACGATGGCGATGGCCGACCATCTTGGGCACCTACATGGGCCACTGCTCGACCAACCACTTTGCCATCTGGCCGTCCAGGGGACAACGATGACGACGACGATGGTCCAAACCGCCTCGCAAAGCGACAAAGCCTGCCCTACTGCGACGACGCAAGTTCCGGCTCGGACGGCTTCACCTCGATTGGCTCCGGCGGTGGTTCCTCAGAGCGACGCACCATGCTCATCGCGCACGGCGTCCTCGCATCGCTCGCGTTTGTAATCCTCTTCCCCGCGGGCGCAATTGCCATCCGCCTGGCTTCTTTTCCAGGCGTGGTGTGGTTCCACGCCCTGTTCCAGATCTTTGCTTACGTCGTCTACATCGCGGCGTTCGGGCTGGGCGTGCACATTGCGAGCGAGATGGAGATGCTGGATCACCATCACCCGATCGTTGGTGTCGTCGTCTTTGTGCTTGTCCTCCTGCAGCCGGTGTTTGGGTGGGTGCATCATACGATGTTCAAGAGGTATCAGAGTCGAACGCTTTGGTCGTACGTGCATATCTGGCTTGGCCGCATTGCTGTCACGCTCGGGATCATCAACGGCGGGCTTGGGCTGCAGTGGGCGGACTCGATGAATATGAGTTCGAGGGGCGGCATTATTGCGTATGCGGTTATTGCTGTGGTCATGTGGCTGGCATGGGTTGCTGCTAGTGTTATTGGGGAGAGGAGGAGGACGAAGAAGGTGGCTGATGCGCCGCCGAAGTATGAGGAGGGAGCTCGTGCTGGGAGGAGTCATAGGTCAAGGGGAGTGGGCGATGAGACGGATTCGAGTGACGATATCCAGTTGATGAACTCGAGGATGCACGGGCATTATGCGCCGAAGACTCAGTAGAGGAGGCGTAGACTGTGGCAACCGGTTATGGAATCGGCGGTTGTCACAAATCTATCTTGCAATACAATCTGCTATCTGTCTTTGGTGGAGTCTAAGAGATGTCAATGCAGGTCCCAATGACACTACGTTGTGGCAAGCTGCAGATATTCCTGGATGGTTGCTTCGATCGGAGGAGCACGCGAGGCAGGCGCTAGCCGTTTCGACCACTAGTTTCCTCCCCCACTGGTCCGTTGCCAGCGAACGAAGCCCAAAGGCCATAAACACAAACACGCCGACTCAAGCACCCCTTCACGCTCAACCCTCGCTGCCATCTGCTATCCCGCCTGCACGGCAACCCATCGCCTTGCACCCCCGATCACTTTCACCGAATCCCGCACCCTCACATATCCAAAATGGGCGAGTCCAGGTGAGTGAGGCCCAGGCTGCGATGCCAAATTTCCCAGGCGCTCGCCGCCCCTTCAATGTCAACACACACTGACCGTCACCCCAATGCAGGCAAGAACTAGTCGCATGGCTCAATAACCTCCTCCAACTCAACATCACCAAGGTCGAACAATGCGGGACAGGGTACGTCATCTTTGTGCCAGAATATGGCGGGGCAGGACAACACTGCAGCCATCGATCAGACAAAGTCACAGCAGGCTGACAGCAGAAACAGCGCCGCGCTCTGCCAGGTGTTTGACAGCATCTTCTACGATGTGCCTATGTCGCGAGTCAAGTTCAACGCCAACACGGAATATGCCTACCTGCAGAATTTCAAGATATTGCAGAGTGCGTCCTTCACCGCCCCGCGCTACAAGCCTTGCTGACCTGTGCAGACACATTCGCCAAGCACCAGGTCGACAAGCCCATCCGCGTCGAATCCCTCGTCAAGTGCAAGATGCAGGACAACCTCGAGTTCCTGCAGTTCGTCAAGCAGTACTGGGACCAGCACTTCCCCGGCCACGAGTACGACCCGGTCGCCCGCCGCGGCGCGAAAGCAGCAGTCGGCGGCGGCGGCGCACCTGCACCCCGTGCCACGCCCGCAGCGGCCAGGCGAGCCCCCGCCGCCAGCAACACCGCCGCACCGCGAACCCGAACACCGCTTGCCGCCTCTGGCGGTGGCGCAGCAAGTGCAGCTCTGAGAGAGGAGAATACACAACTTAAGGAGACCGTTTCCGGCCTGGAGCGCGAACGCGACTTCTACTTCAGCAAGCTCCGCGACATTGAGCTGCTGATCCAGCAAGCCATGGAGGCCGACCCAGAGCTCGAGAAGGACGAGGGCCTGCTCAAGCAGATCCAGAACATCCTCTACTCGACCGAAGAGGGGTTTGAGATTCCTGCCGAGGGCGCAGAGGGCGCAGAGGAGGAGACATTTTAGAGGACATGTCGAATTGCTACTCTGGCGGGCCGCGGTGGAGTCTGGTCTGCCCGCTTGATCCCGGGTCCACGGGAGCCTGCGACTTGTGATGGAACATCGTGAAGGCCGAGGACTCTCACAAGGACTAGGTGGTCCGGCCGATAAAGGGAGCAGTGGAGGTAGCAGATGTTCACATGGCTTCATCGATATTGCATTGGGGGCGCGAGCTGGGATACCATTTTCTGCGTTTTGACGTGTTACGAGTTGCACAAATAGGATCTGTGTGATGGGTGGAAGATTGACACTGGGTATTTGTCCGTCGTTTGCTTGCGCCGCGCTTACTGTGGCAGAGTGACGAAGGATAGGCAGTAATCTAGCCACTTGCTTCTTCGAACGCTCCTGCTCAGCGACCTACTGATGACTTCCCCAAGGATCGCCCATCTTGTACTCTGCAAACGCAGACATAGCCCTCACCATCCACGACGGCGTCCCTGCGAACACGCTCTCCCCGAGTCTATACAGCGGCGCCTCGTCGAGGAACCCGCTCGGCGCGCACACCCAGTCGCCGCCACGTGTGTTGCCATCCTCATACTGCAGTCATTAGCCTCATCCACATTCGTATCCACATCGCAGGTTAAGGCGGATACGCACCACGCTCAAACAACACGCCCAGCCCGTAGCCTCCCCGGTCAGGCCGCAGTCTGTCGCGTTCCCCACTACCTTTGGCGCGTGGCACGGTGCGTACGGACCGTGTGCGATCAGGGATGGACAGCATGTGTCCACGGTTCCAGGGAAGAGGGCTGTGCAGATCGACGTTGCTTCGGGGCTTGGGGGTTGAAACATTGCTGCAGCGGTGGCTACGAGCGCGAGCATTTGGAGGGGGGATTGGAGGTACATGGTCTCGGATGGGGGTTGTGAAGGGATTGGGGGCTGAATGGTGAGAAGGACGGGGGGTTTTATGGTTTAGGGAAATTAGGCACTGAGGTGTGGTGCGGTGGTTGCGCGGGAGTGTGATGGGAAGTATGAAAAGACTTGGACAGGTGATGAGACACTGGCAATAAGTTCGTCACGTCTGGTCTGCGTGTCAGAGCGAGGTACAGGCTCACAAACAGTATGCCTCTGCTCAGTCGCTTACGGGTGCATGTGCGTAGAGGTGCATGCGAACCAGTGAGCACAGCTTTGGCTACCGTTTTGGTAGTGGTGGCCTGGGATGTACATGTGCCTCACTGTATGCTGCAAATATACCGACACCTCGTGACTAGCGCTTTCTGAACCACTTGGACTACTGTTCCCCAGTGTCTACTTCTCTTCCTGCGTCAACGAACCCTTCTCAATGCCCAGGTATCTCTTCCTCGTACCCAAGCGCCGCCCATATCCATCTTTCTTACTCCTCTGGAAATCCCATGTGCACGTGAGCGTTTCGTTCTGGTCACCATCAACTGGTCGTAACGTGATTAACACGGACCCGTCTCTCTCCACTTGGCAGCAGGCCCACTCCATCTACTCGTAGCAACGCTCGGGATTTGTTGTCGCTTTGGGGACCTCGCAGGGCGGGCTGTGACGCCATGTGCATAGATTGCATCATGTATACCGCAGTGAGGGGCAGATGAGGCCGCGTATGTGGGTGGGTGCGAAGACCGAGTCTAGTGTGCTGTCGATGATGGCCAGTGTGAGTAGGAATGGAGTGGTCAAGGTGATGAAGATGATGATGCGGTTAGGTGGTCGTCGGCCATGGCTACGGCATGGTTCTGGGAGGGAAAAGCTCGTTGAGGTGTTGTGTTTGCTTTAATGGGGCGTGGCGTGGTACCCATCCACGGGTGGTTACGGAGATGCAGTGCGACGAGGTGAAGGCAATATTTTGTGTCTCGTGAGAATTACTCGTTCACCTCAGCAATACTCAACAAATTATTCTCATACACACCAAGTGCTTCCTGAGACAATGCTTGCGGATGCTACGATGGGTGGAGGTTTGTAGAGATCAAAAATACGCCGTGAAACTTCCAAAACACACGAAGTATCCGGTGGATGTGTCAAGCTTATACGCATTATAATATGAGCGTCTGTAGATACAACCAGCTGTGTGGCTGCATCTGGCTGCATCTGGCTTCTGCTATGGCACAAAGGCATAGTGAGGCTTGTTCGTAGGTGGTGACGCATTTCAATGTTCAAATCTGTGAGCCTGACATAAGTTGCGAGAGAAAAGGCCAAAGGCTCTGATACTAGTGAGATCTCTCCTTCACGTAGACGGTGTGTTGTACTCTCTGATCGCTCCTGCGTGGCCGCCAAGGTCCGATCTCTTGTGTCCGAGCTGCTTGAGCAGAGTCCTGATCAAAGTTAATTGGCCACTTGGACTCTGACCGGGAATAAAATCTGGAGAAACAGATACGGGACGATTATTGGCCGCTCCCCGTCCGGTAGTTAGTGATGTGGGGAAGATCAGCCGCTAAGCCCATTTAGCTGCTAGCCTATGCGTCTTGCGCGTCCGCAGCTCGATCACCCCCTCCACCGCTGACCACCACAGGCCTTTACTCGCGTTCTGGGCCGCCTAATGTCATTATGTGTTCAAACAATTTGTCCAAACGCGTAAAGAGGTGATGCTCCGACGTCGAACGCCTCCCCACGTGCATCAACCCCGCACGAACCTACCCCTCTTACTCTGACCCGATGGCTTCGAATCGTGCAGGCTTTATATATGGTAGGCGATGGCTGCCGAAATAATTGCTGGAGACTTGCCTGTGCCTTAACTGCATTCAATTGCAGCAATTCAGTGCATCTCGTTACCTTTGACCTCCTTTCTAATCTAAAGTTCTTACATCTAAGATCTTTGAGCGCCATCATGTCCGGCTGGGATGACATCAACATGGCGCTGGAGAGCAGTAAGGATAAGCTGACCAAGCTTCTCCAGTCTGACAAGCAGCTAAAGGCTTTTACCACATCTGACGCCATTGACAAGTCCGCGACTTTTGGCATCAAGTCAAGCGGCTCTGACAGCACCCTGCTCATCGAAGTCACCAATGGCAGCGCCAAGGCCAGCGCTGGAATCTCAAAGGACGCTCTCTTTACGCTCTCTGCACTGCCGGAGCAGTGGGAGCAGCACTTCAAGGCAACGCCTGCCATGCCTTACCAGAGCTACTGGGGCATGTTCGGCATGAACATCAAGCAGAAGGGAATTGAAGTCCTCGGTGACCAGACAGCCTTTGCTCACTGGACTCACGTCTGGAGACGCGTGCTCGAGCTTACACACGAGGCACACTGTGGTCCCTTGAAAGAGGAAGAGCAGCCTGAGCAGGAGCGTGACTACCTCACAGGTCGCTACGTCTTCCTCGATGCACCAATCTGGGGCAGGTCAAAGGTCTTCTACGAGTCCTCTGGTGAGGGTAAGCAGCAGATCGTCTTCCTCCACACAGCTGGCAGCGACAGCCGGCAGTACCACGGCGTTATGAATGACCCTCAGATGCGCAGGAAGTGCACCATGTTTGCGTTCGACCTTCCGGGACACGGGCGCAGTTTCCCGTCGAAGAATCTGCCACCTGGTGCGCACACAAACACTGAGGACAGCTACGTTGGCATCATTGCAGCGTTCGTCAAGGAGCTTGGTCTGCGAAGGCCGATTATCTGTGGTGCGAGTATGGCGGGCCAGGTGTGTTTGGCAGTAGCCATTCGTCACAAGGAAGTCGGTGCTGGCGGCACCATTCCTCTGCAAGGGTCAGTATACTTCGACAGATACTTCACGATATACTGACAATCCCCAGGTCAGAATACCTCAACATGGAGCGCCAGTGGCACGACCGCTCGCCGTACGTTAACCAGTCGCTATTCAACCCAGAATGGATCTACGGCGTATGTGTCTTTTTCTAGATCGATTATCGGCCTTAGCTAATGACGGTGTAGATGATGTCGCCCACCGCACCGAAGGTCAACAAGGATCTAATCTGGCATCTCTATAGTGCGCAAGCTTACGGTGTACGTGCAATTGCTCTGTTTACACTAGCCGTCGTACTGACATCCCGTATAGATCTTCCACGGCGATCTCGACTTCTACTTCGGTGGCTGGGACGGCCGCTCACGTGTTGCCTCCATCGATACTAACAGCTGCCCCGTGTACATGCTCACAGGCGAGTACGACTGGTCAAATACACCTGAGATGTCGCAGAAGACTGCAGACAAGATCCCTGGCGCCAAGCATAAGGCCATGCCAGGTCTCGGTCACTTCCCAGCGACGGAGAACCCGAAGGCTTTTGTGCCGCACTTGATCGAGGCTATTGAGCACATTCAGAAGGTCCGCAGCGAGGGCTTGAGTACTATGCGTTTGGGCAACGGTACGGACTAAGTGACGTGTATTGAAGCGTACCCAGTGAAGCGAGTTTGCGGCCTGCATATGCAGCGGCAGAGTTTTATGGATCTAGGAGCTAATTGTGCACTTATCGACTTGACCACTTCGCAGCAGTCACTACCTCACATTGCATGTTGTTGGTTGCCACGCACCTGTCGCCTCAACGCATCACTGCAAGCGCAAACAGACTAGTGGCATTGTCATATTCTCGACACCGAACAACACTCTCTCCCTTTACCTGGTCACATCTCCGCCACATATTCCCACAGTCACATAGTGCTATCCACGCTCCCTTAACAATGACAGATACTACTGTAAACATGCCTTCGGCTGTCGCAAATATGCCCGCCTCCACCACGGCCGACGATGGGACCCTCGCTCTTCGCATCATGTCCGAATTTCTTAGCGCTCGGTGCGAGACTGAATGCCCCATCTGCTACGAGGCGTAGTCCACCGATCGAGCACCTGCCATTCTTCCGAACTGTCACCACGCTATCTGCGTGCCTTGCCTCATGCAGTTGAGCCAGTCGGGCATGGGCAACCGCAACAAGTGCCCGATGTGTCGCACTATCTTGATCGCAAGCGTAGATCCTCCGGTCAGGATATTGACTGTTCCTACGGGTACGAGCGAGAGACACTTGCTGAAGTACCATTGCTTATGTGAACACAGGTCAGGGATCCGTACGACGTAGGAATACGGTTGATCTTGGTCGGCAGATACAGCGAGGTACGATTACGATACGTTGTTTCCCTTTCGAATTCCCACCCCATTTTCCTGCCCATACGAGCCTTACATCGCCTTTCTTCTAACAACGCCAAATGTCGTAACAGTCTCCCCAGAACAAAGGCCTTGTTTTACGGCTGCTTGTAATAGACTACCACGTGGTCGACATCAGGTGTACTGTCCAGAATTCTGGCGGCCGCATCATCCAACCCCATCCGTCGCTCCTTTCTACGCTCACGGCACCCCGTCAGCACCGGCTAGCCTAAGGAATATATCACCATCTCTGGTGCAAGATCTGATCGTCTACATGCATGCAGATTCTTCACGGTTCCTGTGGCAAATTGATGATGCCCAACCGCAAAGGCAGTCGGTAGCTGCACTAGACGGAACGCCATCGCGGAATCCACCAGATTCCTACTTGGCCGATTCCGATCGTTCTGCGTGGAACCAGCAACTTACACAACAGCTGCAAGAGCGACAGCAATCTCGCATATCCTTGGATGAGATGCCGCCCTTGGTCATGAACGCAGACGAACACCTTGATTCTCTGATACGACAAGACGATGGGGCCACGTCAGACAGGTCGTCTCGAACTGAAACGCAGCAATCTCAAAGGACTTCGTCGTCCGTCAACAACACATTTCCACCGCTGTACACTCGACTGAGACAAGCAGTAGAACGAGCGGATGCCATCGAGGAGGATATGGACGCGCGTCATACCTCACGTCGTGGCGGTAGAAGGGACCGAGGCCGGAACTGGCCTGTTTTTCGATATGGAACTTGTATGGGGGTCTTTCGCTAAAACCTCCGCGTCCAAATGGGTTTGAGAGACGCTGGTGTCACGTTGAAAAGAGTACTGAAAGCAGATCTAATCTATTCTTCCAAAGATGCTCATTCAGCACGCATGCGATATGGGGTGTGACCTCGAAATGCGAGCCTTCCAAAATATTCGATCGGAAAACTGTGCCACAACTTCGGAACGTCTGAATCCACTTTTTGGCGTTTCTAAGCATTCAGATCATCTGTACTTCCCACCAGTAAGCATATTAAACGCTCTTCTCCAGTGTCTCACGCCTCAACCTCTTGTTCGTCATCTGCAGCCAGAGCCTCAAGCTCCAAGCACATGCAGTCGTCAAGAACGAGGTCACGAAGCTTCTGCTCAATTACAAGTAGTCTAACGAAGCGGATTTGAACTTCCGGGCATGCTTTGAGGTCTACAGTATTGTTGATAAGCATCAGCCGATCGCGTAGTTCAACCCTTCGGGCTTGACAGCTTGACGTCGGTTTGCCGAAAGACCAATGGTTCTAAAGGTTTCCTCGCCGCATAGTCCCATCTGTCAGTTTATTCAGCTTGATCTGCCGACTCGATCATGTCAACTTGGCTGGACAATATGACCGTGACTGCTAGTTGCTGCATTTTGCGCCTTTTGGCTCGAGAGTTTAAATAGGCCTGTTCTTCGCTCGAATACCGCAAATACAAATGAACGACTTAATCGACAACTCGCTTTCTTGAGTACCTCACGTGTATTGTGAAAAGTATGCTGTTACTCATGTGTGGATTCAGGGTGTGCAGGATCCCAATCTGACGGTGCCTTAAGCCACATCGCTGATGGAGCCGCAACAACATAGTGCGACTTATTGAGGATGGAGCTGACTTCAGCGTTTAATCACCAGGCTTTTAAAGTGTAGGTAAATATGTCTATGGAATGTGGACGTCCGAGGGCTAAAGAGAAACTCGAAGCTGACGAAAGAAATGCGGATTTCACGGTATCCCCATCGATAAGCAATCACAACAAAAAAGCGGCACAAAATAGACTATACTTATACTCCTAATGAAGCTGTTTATATATAAGGCTAAATTTCTGCAGCACTATGCAAATGGGAAGGCACTAAAGAACAAATTTCGACGTCGCGATTGAGCATGAGTGACACTTACGACGGGACTCCAGCCACGGAAACCACTTCTTGAATGACTTATGACTTGCTTCCAGATCCACACAGCCGGAGGGATTTGAGCACCTGTGAAGTCATTGTCACACTCCAAGCTTTATCATTAGACATGCGGAAATTATTCCGACCAGGTAGGACTCTCAAACGAGGTGCAAAGGAAAGCCAGTCGTTCCCATTCATTCTGGACGCTAAACTGAAGTTTCTTTTGGGTACGAGGTAAGCCAGGCCAGTAGTTGATCTCGAGAATGACCCTGTATTCGATATTTTCCAGGAAGACTAAGGTAAGGCAAAGCGAGCTGCCATAACTGCGCCTAAGATATGAAGATTGTATCACGAACATGATATTGCAACGTCAACATTCAAGGGGTTATTCCGCCAGAATACGAAGTATAAAAGCAGAGCGCAGGCTGCAGGGATTGCTGTGTTAATCTCAAGAAGAGATGTGGTCAAATCATGGGGAAACATCGCTGTCATCTGAGAGCAGAACCACAACGCTTGGGCGTAGGTCACCACTTTGGTGAAAGCATTCGCTCTACTCTTGTCTTGGATCTCGGTTCCAAGAATGTTAGGTAGCAATCCCGGGTCGTACTTGGCGACGAATTTGAGACCCTCGGTTGTCAAAGTCATACTCTATCCACCGTCGGGGAGATATTGCGTGTCAAGGTCGTTAGTGTTAATTGCAAACCAGTCCATTACTGCATAAATGGAGTGCGTCATGGTCCAAGGGGGAAGCCATGACAGCATAGGAGTCGCCAGCTATCACCTCATCAACATCACTCTGCTCACATAGGATCCCTGTCGCAAGTTTTGCAGATGTACTAATACAATTGAGAAGCAGAACAAGATATCCACAGAATGAAAGCCTTGTAACGAGGCGCACAGCACGGCTGCGGCTGCGATTGTAGGTAGCAATGATTGTCGAACCGCACGCGACTCCAGAGACAGACCGATCATGAAAGAGACAGTGCAGTGTCCAAAAACCGAGCAGCAGAGCACGGGCAAGACCTCAAAGTGCCCAGCAGACGACATAGAGAACCCCTACCTCGAAGCGACGTATCATTTGCTTGATGCAGCGACAGAGATAGCACGGTTCCACAATAGCTGCCACCACATGACGTACGGTGTAACCGCAAAACCTCGAATTTGTAAACTTGAGAAACAGTCTCGACCCCACCTCTGCTCGCAGTCATGTCGAGCATGCAGGAGAAGACACAGCCGAGTTTGCTCCTGCTGCAAAGTAAGGGCGCGCGTCTGCCGTCTTTGCAGTGGTGAAGCTTCTCGAAAGCACGCAAACGAATGTACCCAGGTAGCAATCGCAAAGTGAAAGGAAGCAAATGAGCCACTCGCCATTACACCAGCGCCTGCATCTTCGCTTGGCCATGCGCGGGAACTTTTCTTCGCCCACGTTGTCACCGCTGCCGCCATACTCTGCGAACGCTCCGCCTAAGGGACCAGTACTGCCAGCAACTGCTCCACCTTCACCAGAACTACCACTCATTGGAGTCACGATACCAGTGCAAGAGATCGAAGACATGCGCGCAACCCATATCCGTCCGCGCACAGCACCTGCGTCACCGGAGCGTCCAGGCACAGCAGTCAGCACGCGCTCCACAATTCGCCAAGTCCAGCCCTCACCAGACAGCCTTATCAATGCATTCGCAAACGGCTTCGCAGACGGCGGCACTCCAGGACCAGATAGAGCACCCGAACCCTCCTTCGAGCCCTTCCCACCCTTCAACTCCGCCGAAAAGGAAGACACGGCAGACGACGACCACGGCACGCACATTCCCAGCACCGAGCCGACCCTCCCAAACGTCACTCTGCGCCGCGGCGGCTCGCCACGCAAGTCCCGCTCTTATTCACCTCAAAAGTCCCGCAGCGAATCTCCCCGCAAACACATGGTCCGCACGCCCATACTGCCCGTACACCAAGAGTCACCTTCCTCATCGTACTCAGCCGAGCGCTGGGAAGTGCCTGATACGCCGTCGCCAGTGACGCGCGAGCAGCATAAACAGGCGTATGCACCGCTGCAAGTGCGGCGGCCCATTGCGGAGGCGAACCGTGAAGGAGAGCCAGCGGGGGGACAAGGAACGCAAGCCAGGATTGCGGATTACGTGCGCAAAGCAAAGAAGCAGCAGCGGGGTGAGAAGAGCAAAAGCTCAGACGCCGGACCATCGAGAGATGCCGAAGGGTCAGAGCCGACGAATCGCGTTGTACCGGCACTTCCACATATTGTGTCCGCGATGGCGCAACCCAGTGACACGAGGCAGACGTTGAGTCCGTTCTCAGTCGCGCAGAGACGGGCGCAGACAAACATGGAGAAGGGGCCAGCGCGCCATACCAGTGTGTCGCGGCGCAGTGAGGCGAGCGGTGCGAGTGTGGCCAGCAGGCACAGTATCTTCTCGACTCCGGGAAGGGATGAGATGGAACGGAAGAAGCCAATTATTGAGGAAGACGAGGGGCCGTTCGCGAAGGCCATGAGTGTGCGAGACCTGGAGCAGAGCAGGAGGAGGGTGAGAGAGGGGACGAGGGATGAGGAGGAGAAGAGCGAGAGGAGGGTTTGTGGGATGAGATGTGTAGTGATGTAGAAGCTTGTCGGGTTCGACTTGTGATATGGCGCTTGTGCCTTGAATTTGAGTTTGTGTAGCAAAGCAGTGAAGAGTGTTTGAAAACTTGGGCGTGAACAAGGATAAATGAAAGCGCGGTGGGGCGTGAGGGAGTCGTTCACAGTATACCTGTATCATGGTCCCGAAGTTCAAATGAAGGAAACCCTCACCTTCGTCCTGGATATTCACGCCTCATGCTCAAGCACTTCCTTTCCTTCCCCACCCACTCTCATTCATTCTCAACTTCCCAAACCAGCACGTTCATTACCACCTAACTCATCAAGTCGACATCACATAACGACATGGACCCTGGGATCATCTGCACCCGGCCAGCACTAATGCTACACGACGTTGCGGTCAACTGCCGGCGCATCTCCGCAACGCTGCCTCCAGACGGCTGGAACGACTCCGAGTATACCCTTCAGCAAAGCTAATCGGCAAGTCCAAGGCAATGAGTACCCCCGGAGAACCCTGAAGTTTGAACTGAAGCTGGTGTGCGTTTCGTGAAGCCCTCCACACCGGTGCCTGAGGAGGTCAAGGTCTATGAGCAGCCCGTGATGGTGCACCAAAGTTGGTGGCGATGCTTGCTTTGCAGTGAGCGCGGGCTGTCGAGTATCTTGTTATGTAGTTCTGTGGTTTCCAGAGGCGTCAAGGAGGAGGGTTGAAGCCATCAACATGTATGTTCGCCGCTTGCTCAGCATGTCTTTATAACACCATTACGCTGCTCTACTCTTCCTTCTCCCTCACCTCTGCGGCATGGTCAAGGGCGCAGAGGATGTCAGATCCAAAGACAATGGTCATGTATGCTGGGAAGATGACCCAAAGGCCACTGTTTAAGTCAGCGAATGCATCAAAAATTTGACTGAGGTTGAGACTTACTTCATAACACCATAGAAGAGGAAAATGGTAAACCAATCGTTGTGAGCGACATTTTCGAACTTCGAGAAGTACTCGTTGAAATCTGCTGCTGTCAGCCATGTTCCTTCCAGTGGCGCAGACGGCCCACTTACAGTAAAGCACCGTCTTACTCAGCGTCATGACCGCAGCCGTGAACCCAATGAGCAGCGCGCGATTACCATTCCTACCAGGCACTTTGCGCCCACCAGACAGCCATGTGCCTATTCCCCCACTCTGAACATCAAGACCGGTACCCGTTGCAGCCGGGACGCTGTGATAATAAATGACCATAACGTACAAGCCATACAGCACCGTCTCCACAGCATTAAGCGCTCCCTGCGCGCCACCAAAGCCATCATTGTTCTCCCATCCAGGCCATCCGTACACGTAGTCGATCGCGGCGTAGATCTCGTACGGCTTCCAGATAGGCCATTGCAGGGCGCCGCCGGCCATTGTGTGTGGGCGCAGCAAGATGTACAAGGTATCCCACAACACAAGAGGCAGAGACACTGCGAGCCATAGGATTGTGATGTTGGATGCGGTGTGACACCACGCTTTTTCGTTGACCTCGGATGGGGAGGGTGGCGCAACGGCTTCCACAGCTTTGGACGCACTTTCTTCTACGACCTTGGACGCCTTCTCAAAAGCTGCTGCTGCACGCCTTGCGACTGTCTTTGCAGTGGGCGAGACATTCGACGCAGCAGCCTGTGTCGCTGTCGTAGGGCTCGTTGGCGCGGGCGATGCGGTCGAGTTACGCGAGGGCCTCTTTGTTGGTGAGGGCTCGAATGCCGGAAAGTCGCCGCGAGGATGTTGGCGTGTGGCGACCATTGTGTCAATTGGAGCTTTGCGATTGCGACGGGGAGGTTTGTGGACAGAATTTCGCGTGTAAAGGCTCGCTGGAAGGGTGACAGGTGTTGTTATGGTACTTTCAGGCCTCGCACGTCACTGGTGGAGAGAGCCGGCATTTTCCCTTTCCGAATGCTTTAACCTTGAGAGGGAAGGTGCCGTTTCCTCTGTATGCCCGCAGGTGTCTGAAAAAACGCACACATCAAGATGCCGATGCGCCATTTGAAATTGATCTCAGAGAAGTCAGAGCTATCCCATGCATGGATTGCCTCGTTTGACACCGCATGGACGTCTGATGGAGCGTTTCCCCATGTACGGGATCCCTCGATTGACCCCGCATGGACGCCTGATCTGGCAACCGTCTTGGCTGACGATCTGAGCAGCACACCTTCGTACAGTATTGACGATTAGCCCTAGCTGCATCGTGCGCACACTCAGGTCCTCTGTGTATGTACTGTACATTCAACGCCCTCGGGATCGATTGCCTGGTCCTTCTGGGCTACCTCCGTCTTGGTGAAGAAGAAGATCAATTCTAGACATACCCAACAGGTCTTATCCACTATGGTCACGATATCGCAACGTCTGCTTGTTGACCTGGGCCAGCAACCTCCTCGGAATAAGGTGAAACAGGTGCGTGAACGTTGCTCCAACGTATGTTGGAGTCTTACCTTGATATTGTACTGTTTGCAATGCTCTCTACGATATGAATGGTGGAAGGAGAGAGGAGTAAATAACTTACTGCCCCTGTTTCCGTCTGTGCAGGCCGACGTTGACAGTCCCTCATGTCGTAGAGAGAGCTCGATATGACAAAACAATTAATATTCCAGCAGCCCTATCGATACAAGAAGTGCACATCATTGCTGAAGACCTCACATTCCCAAAGCGTGTGTCCGGTCTTTGCATGACATGAGAACCGGTGTGATGAGAGCACTGACGATCGATGGTTCTCCGCGCCGCGCGGGTAGGCGCCGGGATGCTGTCGCTGTTTTCGCTGAATCGAGTTCGGTCTCCAAGCATGCACCCTTGACTCCTTAATCTCCTCGGGTTGCCGCGCCACCACCACCATGGGTAAACGATTATCGACAACCTTGTCAAGCCTGTTAATGAGAGCGATAGAGCTCGTGGTCACTCTAGACGGAGCTATAATACTTTATGCTAGGGTTCAAGCCATCGATCGGTTTGTGATCATGTTGGTCCGCGGCGTTCGTTGGTGGATCGACAGGACGCAGGAACAGACGAGGATTGAGATCTAACGTGCATACGCCACATCCTTGATCGACTGGCCGGCGAAGCGAAATGGTGAAGTGCAGCAAAAACGAACAACATAGTTGGGGTAGATCACAGCATAATAACAGCAGAGCCAAGCTGCAAGGATCGAGATTGCTTTGCTCCGGCAGCGACGCCGCTCATCTGCAGTTGAGATGACGATGCAGTTAAGCGCAACACAACCGTAAATCTCGCGGAAAACCAGATTTTGTTTGCACGAAGATGGCGACACTACCTCCGCAGCGTACTCTGGCAGCCGGCAGGTCTCCCAGTGCATTTTGCCTTGCGGGCGTGCATCGGCGGCTTCAGACTCATCGTGCATAAGTGGCGATCAGGCCATCCGAAACACTGAGCGCCCTCGCCGCTGGGCAAGTTTCGAGATCGCAGAGCTTGGCTACGGCAAACCCTCGCCCGCATTGACCACAGCGGAGCTGGGCGTTCGTCATTTGTGTGAAACGCCCGTTAGTCTGTCAGCGGCAAGGCAGTTGACTGACAAGCGGCGAAACAAAGGGTGGCGTGGAGGTAGCAGTGACGCGGTGGTTGATGTCGCGTGAGCGCTGAATGTGAGTTGATGTACCCACAATGAGGATGTCGGGTGCGCTGAGTTTGGATAGATTGCAGGCTTGCTTTTTTGTTGTCGCTTTGCGTTCGCCTGCAGCAATAAAACCTTGTAAGGAGGACTTAGGGCCTCGAATTGATGATGTCCAAGAGACGCAAGAATGGAGCTTATGCAGCAGGTACCGCTTGCACTTGCACTGAGCTATGACTGCGAGTTTACTCTTGGGCACACGTCGATACCCTCTGCAAGTATAGCCGTTATCGAGCTGTCAAGGCGCAGGCTATACCTCGATAGCAGCGCCACCGACTTTAGCGAGCATTGTGTTGACGACTGCAGATATGCGTGTTACATCAAGCTGCCAAGTATCGCGATGGTCTGGAGCCGCCCGCGTCGTACAACTGCTCCAATTAACCCTATCGAAAGAGCTTGTCTCAGAGTGCCAGCACCTTTGCATTGCTTGACAGCCGGGCATCTGCATGTCTTCCCCAAATGGCGGGCACACTGGCGCCTCTTGCCTCAGCGGCAAAGAAGTGGGAGGCTACTCATGACATATGCTCCTGCAGCGAGGTCCTGGCTTGTGTCAAGGTGATGGGTCACGCAAAGCCTTCTTCAAGATGACAATGGCAACGAGCTTATTGAGGTTCGCCGTGACATTGAGTCGATGATCGCATTGCTGCAGGAGCGTGACCAAACATCGAGCGCCAGTCACAGAAGCAACGCAGGACAGCTCTGGAGGTGTGTTGCCTGGCTTCATTCATGCAGAAGAAGTGCGGTATTCGGGGCGAGGCGGCCACAAACCATGGAATCAGCGACAACGAATCGTGGACTCGAGCGGGCGTTAATTTGGCCGGTCTCTGATGGAAGAATTCGTATTGGCAATAATGTCACCGACAAGATACCGCGTACTGAAGACCGTCTGCTGTCGCACAACAGCTGCTTCCTGCGGAGGATCTTGTAAACTGTTGATTGACGCGGCTGCAAATGGCGAAAGCGCCGCTGTAAATCTAGGCTGAAGGCAGGAATGAGCCTGTGGTTGCTTAGGTGTTCCAGACAATATACTGACACGTGATGAAATATCGTAGAGCTGGCGCCCACGCCCACGCGTCTGTCTCGAATTGCGTGTCTCGCAGCGAACCACTGCGATTGAAGCGCCCAGCAAGATGACGCAGCGCGCATCCATCGTGAAGTCGGAGAGCTGAATCCTTCGGGACGAAGGAGCATTTGAAACGACCATTTTCGCCTGTGGCTTGCGGAGGCGCCGTTTCAGCGTCCGCAGTCCCGCCCGGGCGCCGAATGGCAGCCAACGAATCTAAGCCTCCTGGAGCACCACCCCGGTCCCTGCAACGCTAGGCCATGATCCAATCGACGCCTGCAAATGGCCTCTGATAATCAAACTCTCATCCCTTCATACCCGCCGCCGGCCGACGGTTACGAGGGATATTCTCTTCTTTTTCCCCAACTCCGTTCGCCCAAGTCGTTCTTTACTTCATTTCAGTCCTGCCGTGCAGCCTCACGCCTCCCCGCAAGCTTGTACAAGACACTCCCCTGGTGGACGATTTATCGAGGCAGATCGCACGTCTCGACTCGTATCTGCGATCAGTCACCTGGACTTCTGGACCTGCCCTTGCTTCACTGCTCTCGTCGACCACCGCGGGCGCTGTCAACCTTTCCCCAGACGTCGAGTGAGCATCCACACAAGCCTCTGTGTCACCACCCGCCTCTGGCTTCACGGACGTGCCTGTGAGAAGCTAGATCGACGCACACACTCAGTTCCGTTTTTGGATTCACGGCTTTCGCCTCTTACGCATTCTGTCAGTTGCCGGCCAAGACAGATAACACTCACTACCCCAGGACGTTTAAAGACCTGCTCCATCTGGACTTGTCTGTCATATCACAACAATGACTCTCTCAGAGATCTTTGGCAGCCTTGCCAAGCGCGCAGGACACGGCGAGGAGGACCCTACCGCTGGACTTGAGAATATCGATATTCAGAACTACCTCGGCCGCATCTGGTGGTGCTTCGTTGTGGTCTTTGCCCTTTATCAGGTCATCCTCTACTTCGTCCGCTACGTTCGCACAGTGTCATGCCTGAATAACGACACTCAACGCTACTTCTCCATTCCCAACCACTTGTATGCTCGCTTCAAGAAATCATGCCTGGATGCACCCCTCTGGCGCACCCGTCACCACCGTGAGTTTAAGATGTCCTCTGCCCTCGGCATGGGTACCCTCCCCAGCCGTCTCCAGAGTTTCTTCCTGGTCGGGTACTTCGCCGTCAACATCGGATTCTGCGTCTGGAAGATCGACTACAGCAGCTTTTCGGCCGGTGCTGGTGAGCTACTAAGCCGCTCCGGTGTCATGGCTGTCATGAACATGATTCCCCTCTTCCTCCTGGCTGGCCGCAACAACCCTGTCATAAAGCTCACCGGCATCTCGTTCGACACCATGAACCTGATCCACCGCTGGTTTGGACGAATTGTCGTTCTCGAGGCCCTTGCCCACACCATCTGCTGGATCGCCAACAAGGTTCAGTCTAGTAAGTAGAAACAGCATTAATCGCAGAGCTGATCGCTGACTAAGATACAGAGGGCTGGGGTGCTGTCCAGGCATCAATCACCCACAGCGAGTTCATCATGACCGGGTTCATCGTACGTTTACTTGAATGTGACACGTGAATAACCGCTAACATGAAGCAGGGCACCGTCGCATTCACCTTCCTCCTCATTCAATCGCCCTCCCCCATCCGCCACTCCTTCTACGAGGTCTTCTTGCACGGCCACATCGTCGGTGCCGCGCTTGCCCTCGGCGCCGTCTGGGTCCACTTGAAGGAACGTCCTCAGCAGTTTATGCTGTACGGTGTTGTCGCTATCTGGGCAGCTGAGCGCTTCATGCGTTTTGCCCGTCTCGTTGTCAACAACGTTGGCAACGGTGGGTCTTCGGCAGATGTTGAGGTCCTCCCTGGTGACGCTCTTCGCATCACCGTCAAGATGGCCCGTCCATGGAGCTTCCGCCCAGGCCAGCACGCCTACCTTTACATGCCTTCAATCGGTCTGTGGACTAACCACCCCTTTTCTATTGCGTGGAGTGACGAGGAGGAGGACCCTCACCACGTCAACGAGAAGAGCCTCCCCATGACCAGCACCGATCTTGCTCTTCAGAAGTCCAAGACCAGCATGTCCTTCATCGTCCGCCGACGAACTGGCTTTACCGACAAGCTCTTCCGTAAGGCAGACTTGTCTGCATCAGGTCGCTTCTCTACCACCTGCTACGCCGAGGGCCCGTACGGTGGGGAGGATCTAAGCTCGTATGGTACAGTTATGCTGTGGGCGGCTGGTATCGGTATCACTCACCAGGTTCCCCACGTTCGTGACATCGTCGCTGGTTACGCCAACGGCACCGTTGCTACACGCCGTCTCACACTTGTCTGGATCATCCAGTCTCCAGAGCACCTTGAGTGGATCCGCACTTGGATGACACAGATCCTCTCCATGCCTCGCCGCCGTGAGATCCTGAAGATCCTCCTCTTCGTCACTCGTCCTCGCAGCACAAAGGAGATCCACTCCCCGTCGTCGAGCGTACAGATGTTCCCTGGCCGACCCAACGTCCAGAGCCTTGTCGACCAGGAGATGCAGGAGGGCATCGGTGCCGCTTGCATTAGCACATGCGGTACTGGTGGCCTCGCTGACGAACTCCGTCGCGCTGTCCGCAACCGCGAGCTGCAGTGGAATGTCGACTTCCGCGAGGAGTCGTTCTCATGGTAAACGACTCACCACCCATCACTTATCTGCGTTGTTCTTCCATCGGTATACCCCCATGTCACGACAATATACACCATCTACTCGTCACCTCCAGTTAAGATCTACTGCTATATAGTTTGTCGGTTCATTGTACACATTCCATTACCTTCGTCCGGCGCTGCCGTCTTCTTTCAACATACTCTCCTTAACATCTTCCCTTGTCTACTGGGTAGAGCAAGGGCGCTAAGTAGGCTTGGCTCATGAATGATAGCATGTTGTCATCACAGTCTTCTATTGGGATTGTGTACTGTATATATGGGTATCTCTATCCTGAGGAATCAACGACTATCACACGATGACTGCTTGCATTTGACATCTTAGTGCATCACTTCAGGACTTTGTGTTGTCGCATCGTGCGTTTCCTCCATGGCAAACCGGTCTTGTATACCCTTCCACCCTCGCATCACTACATCAGCCATCACCGATCCCCGCCCTCCTAGCTTCCTCACCGCCTCCTCGACACTCACGAGATGACTATCATACGCCGCCTCCTCTTCATCAACACCTGTTCCCTCGTGGTGCCTCGGCTCATACTCCCTCGGCTCCTGTCTGACCCTCTCCTTCAGCGTCAGACCATTGGGATACGCTGGCGGCGGTCTATATACCCCACCTACTTCCGTCTCCAACTCGTCCTCCAGATCTGGCGGCAGCGTCTCGGCAATATACCAGTACAGTACATACTGCATGTTGTAATAGCCAAGCGGCATTAGCTGCATCCAGACAGGCTCCGCAGTGAGCGGTGGCGAGGCGACGCGCGGGTGGGCTTGGGGTTGGCGGTGTGACGTGGGCAGTGGGAGGAGGCGGTTGCGATAGCCTGACTGCGACATTGCATCAGCACGTATTCGCGTTCCCAGCGTTCTAGTCGAACGTTTATCATGATGGTAGGCAAACCTCCTCGTAGCCCTCCCGTTCGGCGCCCGTGCGATTGTCTTCTCCTGCGTCCCGCCGCCCTTTAGGCAGGAAGTAGGATATCTTCCCATTCTTGCGCGGCGCGCTGCAGATCACGACGCGCGTCGATGCAATGTGGAAGATCGCCACACCCCCTCCAACCACGAGGTCTTCACCCGAGAATTGCGCAAACACAGGCTCTTCAGATGAGCTCGGCGGTTGTGATTCGACTGTGCGAGGCATGGTGGGGGCTGGTTCGTAGGTCGTAGATGGGAGGTGGGTGCACATATGAATGTTTGCTCAGGTTGTGGGCGCGCAGAAGATGGTCTTGTAGCCTGGCCAGTGGCTGCAAGGCGCTGTGGGAGGCATTGTTATTGTTTTACGTGTGTTGGTGCCTCAGGCGGACGTTGCCATTTGAAGTTCACCGGCGTTGAGGCAGGTGCCCCGCCAATGATGTGAGTAACACTTGGCCAACTAGAGAAAATTTACAATCACGACCGATGTTTCCAAGCAACCGAGAACGGCTGCGTCCGATTGTGAGGGTAGGGTGTTTCATTTTTATGATTATATAAATTTAAATTTTGCTGCTCCTGTCATCAACAGCAGTTACAGCTGGCCTAATGGCCCAATGGCAAGGCGCTTGACTACGATCATTAAGTAATCAAGAGATTCCAGGTTGTAAGTACTTTCACGCCCAGCGTTCGAATCGACCCTAACGATATATGAAATAGCGACCCCTGGTTAGGTCATCCCAATATCTTTTTGCAAGTCAACGTCTCCGTGGTGCTAATTGTTGATGCGGATTTGCAAACAGTGTCGGAAGGCTTTGTTCTGTGCCCTTCTGCATGCTCTTTGGTGTGCTGTAGACAGCGGGAAATTTAAATGTTGGTAGGTGCCATAGGCACGGCTTGCTTATTTCGCTGTCTCCTGGACTTTCCAAATCTTCAACAGGTCACAGTATGTATCATACTCTGCGGTGAACTCTCAGATCTCGGGAAACAACCCGACTTTCCCATTTTAACGATCTGGTCCAAGTGCCGTGGTCTAATCGACTTCGCCTGGCCGTCCACGGAAGGTCAGAAGATCAGGGTGCGCCAGCTGTCCGTCTTTCCGAGAGTCAGAGATGCTCAAGGGATGTTAGTGGTCAATGACTTTCGTTGAGCGTGTCTCAACTGGCGGAGACCACCTCATCTGAAAGAGGCCGAGTGGCCACATGTACCATGTAATAGCGTTTAAGAGCAGGGCAAACAGTCACTCCACTGCTTCGGACGTCCACAGTACCCCCAGGGAATTCAGGCATCGTAACAAGATACCGCTAGCGACGATAGTTACATTCATCATCATCATCATCATCATCATCATCATCATCATCATCATCATCATCATCATCATCATCATCATCATCATCATCATCATCATCATCATCATCATCGGTGATTTCCGTATTCGAATCCGTTATTTAGTCAAAGCTACTGACATGTACAGCCAGCACTATATCCGAAAGATGTACCATGAGGCTCACGGAGCTGAGATCCTTCTTGATTATTAAATCAACAATGAAAGATTCGTCACCGCAGCCAAAAGGATATACTCGAGGCCGTCCAGAAGTTTCGCCGGACGACCTCGGGAGATGCTGTAAAGAAGAGCTTTGACGCGTAGGGGCATGGTCTGTGCCTCATCTGGCAAGACTACAAGACCGGGAGGAGAAGCGTACCCTCCTGATTGTGAAAGCCCGGAAGAGCATTTACAGCCTAGAGAACAGCCAAGAATCTTGTATGAAGTCGCCATTCATCATGAACGAGCCGGCTGCCTTCACAACCCTTTTCCCGATGATGCGATGTATCTCATAGAAGTAAACCCAGGACAACATCGAGATGTCCACTCACTTCGACTTCCTCACCACAACAGCATCTCTATGCCACTTCGTAGCCAGAATCTGCTCCCTCCACCACCAGCCCAGGCCAACCGTCACACCCGGACCCGCAACCACAAGCGTGATCAACCCTCTAACAACAATGCTGACCCAGCTAGCACCTACCATGCCCACCCTCTTGAGATCTCCGAACAAATATAGCAGCCATAAAAAACATGCCCCAAAAGAGAAAATCTCATCAAACTGCAAAAACGTGCGGATGAACTCATCGCCCGTCTTTACAACGGTGAGGTCCGGGACGAACAGCACCCAAGGCGGAAAGGGCGCGGCGTAAAGCGTATACCACCACGTCGCCGTCGATATTGCACAAAGTGAGTAAATGGTGTACTTGATCACGGGCAGATCCCTGCTCGGATTTTTCATTTGGTCCTTCACCACCGTATCCGACATGACGGTCTTCTTGAGCACAAACTGCAGAATTGTCGTCCAGACGGCGAAGGGCTGCCATATCCAGTCCGCTGCGTGGCGCGTGGTGGGATCGATCCAGGAAGAGAATGAGACGAAGTTGGGTAAGTAGTACGTTAGCAGCATGACGGGGAGAACGGACGCGGTGTAGGAGAGGTCAGTGAGGCGCATGTCGCGGGCGCGGAAGTTCTCAATAGGAGACTGGATGTAGTGGACTAGGCACCAGAGGGCCATCAGGACGCCGATGCCGAAGAATTGCATGTTGTAGCCGAGGATGATGGGACTGTTAGGGTTGTCAGTCGCTATATTTCGGTGGGCGAGGTCTTACTTACGCATAGGACAAGGTCAGGATATTCGCCCTCCGGGAACTCTCGATGAGCAGGATGGAGTACACGATCCCGCCATCGGTCAGAAAGCTGAGGCTTTGCCAGCTGCAAGCAAGGTCGACGAACTGGATCGAGGCAAAGCATGCAACGAATGCTCTATATCTGCTGTCAAGAAACTCGACGCCGTAGAAGCTTTGTAACGTCTCGACATGAACAGCTTCACCGATCTGATTGTGCACGCCCTGCTCTATAATGTTGCCGATGCGCTCGACCACGGGTGGTAGACATACGCTCCACATGAAGTAGAGTGCAGCAGCCATTATACCCAGGAAAGGCAGACCTCGGACGGCTCTACATAGCTTTGATTCAGTCTGGCCAAGCCCTTGAGAAGGGTTGAAAGGCATGGTACCGTGCAGTGATCGTGCAGGTGTAGGCAAGTAGTCAAGCTTGACAGCGCCAGTGATCATATCACACGTAAGATTCGTGAAACTGTATTGTGGGGTTAGCCGGATCTCATATCAACTACGTAGGTCGAGTGCCCGAAGACACCGAAAAGAGTAAAGACGATGCGCAGCTCTGCTAAGCTGATTGTACGCGTCTCGTCTTGCGAGCGCGCCGATTGGCTAGTACGGCGCCTTTCACAGGGATCCGTATTCACTTCTGACATCGGTCACTTACAAGTCGCCAGCATTAGGGAGGACCCAGAATGCAAAGATCTTATCTTTGAGTGTTGCGAGCGCGTGCAGGCGTGTCAGGCGATTTGCAGCCTTCAGCACGGCTGTCAGACGGATGTCCCGGAGCGCCTGGTAGTTTCCAAGGTGAGTTTTGATGGTCTCGTAGCTTGGCTTCCCCTTCTCGGCCGTATTGACCATTTTTTTGACTTCATTTGCGAGAGCAGCGGCAGTCTCCATTGCTGCGTTACCGCCTGCGCCCATGTTCGGTGTCATCTTATGGACGCAGTCACCTACACAGGCGATACGACCCCAGGACCATCGCTTCAATTGAGCCTCTTCTATCGGAACTAGGGTGTATGTTCTCCTGTTCTTCCAGAGACCATCAAATGTCAGCTCAGGCGTGATGTGAAACTTCTCGATCTTTTGCGCAAAGGCTTCGGCATCCTCTTTGGTGTATCGCGGGAGCTCGTTGGCTTTGTCTGCAGATTGGTCAGTCAACGAGACAATCGGAACGGTTGTCTCCCTTGAAGGTCTTGCTTGTGTTGAAACTGTACTCGCAAAAAAGAGCCATGGGAAGCGAGGGCAACTTGTACGTACTGTAACGGTCAGCTTGAGAGGACGATGCACAGAAGATGAATTCTCACCATGTCTTGTCCAACTTCTTGAACACAAACCAGTACACCTTCTGCATGCCTCCTATGATCAATGTAGAGAATCCCTCGTCGTAGTTTACAGTGACCTCGCCTTCGACAATGCCCTTGGTCTGAGAAGAGATGCCGAAGAGACATTGATACTCTGCGAAGAGCAGATTCTGATCTGAGGGATCGAACAAATTCTGCTCATGCAGATGAGCAAGTCGCCACATCTCATTGCGAACAACGCTGTGGACACCATCGCAGCCGATCAAGATGTCGCCGCTGATTGTAGTGCCGTCTTTGCAAGTGACGACGACTCCGCTTTCGCTGTGATCGACCTTCGAGATCCTCTTCTGCAATTTGATCTTAGACTTATCGTTAAGGTTCTCGTACAGGGTACGTAAAGCATGCTGTCGATCAACGAACATCGCAGGGTAATTGAACCTTCCAACATTGTTAGCCAAGCTCTAGATTTGATTTGAGACGAACCACTCACCGAGCCTCAACGAGTTGAATACCGATGTTTGCGAAGAACTGCTTGCCGTGATGGTCGCGACTTCGAGTTTTCCGCAGCGGGGAGGCCTCCTGCTCGATGGCCTCAAAGCATCCAAGCTGATCAAGAATCCGACCACCGTTCTGAAAGATCCCGATTGATGCGCCGACCATTGGCGCGATGTCGTCCCTGGCTTCGAGGAGTATGTAGTCAACACCAGCTTTCTCCAGCGCGTTGGCAAGCGTCAGCCCCGAAATTCCGCCTCCGGCAATAATGACCTTAAACCCCGTTGCTATCATTTTGTTGGATGAGTGAAGAACCGACTAGCTGATCGACTGCGGATGGAGAGACGGTGTCAATTGTGACGGTGCTCAAGGGATGCCATTTACTGCGCGCGTCAAGCATGTACTTATGCCACACCACCCTTGTAAGGACGCCCGAGATCTGTAGGATTACCATATCCTCCCTAAAGTGGGCCAATGCTCCGCGATAGTCGAAACGGGTATCCGTTGCGGACGCACACGGCACATGTTGTGTCCAGACTGCAGAGTCTACTTCTGAACGCCGAAGTGTCAGCACATACTCGAACGAAAATGGGGAGAGGCGGAGAGGCGGACGAGCACAAAATTCTCGTTGTCTGCGTGCGATTGGCCGGTATACCTGAGCAAGTTAGCAATAGGTTTCATGTCGCGCTGCCGAGGACTCCAAGATCCACCTATTGGTGCTCACGTCAGCTCAGGGTTGGCGTGTCCGTGGACTCGGCTTTTCAGCAGAACACTGTGTTCACATTGGGGCATGACTGCGGACTCTCGAAGGGATGTCGTTGATTCGGTCTGCTAACGCAGCTCCGTCTCGAAGCGGCGCCATCACCATCAACATACTAATCTCACTCCCCGAAGGAACGCTCTTCCCCTTTACGTGACCACAGAGTACGTCAGACCTTGCACTTCAAGATCACACGACTCGCCGAGCGGTTGTAGCCATATCCGACGAAAAGATCCAGTAATTGCGCAAGCCTGCGCGCTTTCTGGATCTTGCCGTAATAGTGTGTGCTCTCCTTCTACGAGCATTGTTATGAGCTTTCCCGCCTTTGCTCATTCATAGCTTCTTACCCTTGGCCGCCTTCGCTTTCGCCTCCTTAACCTTTGCGGCCTCCTTCTCCGTTTTGGGCGCCTCCATGCTGCGTGTGAGCAGCTTTGGAAGGAACTTGCCCACTCGTTCCTGGTAGACCTTGTACTCCGGGTACTTGCCTGCGCTCAACATTTCTGTCAACCAAGTGCTAGCCTGAAACAGTATGAGATAGGAGAAAGCGCCAGCGAAGGTCCAGTTTGTAAAAGTGTAGCTTTCCAAGCAGCACCACTGGTACAGGAACACCCAGAACGTTTGCTCAGCAGCGAAGTTGGGGTGACGCGACCATGCCCACAGGCCGCTGGTGTTGAAGCCACGGTCCAGCTGCTCGCGTGTGTATTTGTAGTCGCCGGGTACCTTCGCGGTCTTATTGTAAGCGCTCTTTGCCTTGTGGAAGATCCACTGCTGCTGGTCGGCAAAGAACTCAATGATGACAATGACGAACATGCCTTTGCTAAAGGCTTGGTCGTAGCCAGAGAGTTCGTTGCCGGTGATACGCGAGGTGAGGAGGAGGACGTACGTCGGCGAGGTAATGATCCACAACAGGATCTGCGGTCCGAGTCAGCGGCGGGCAGTGAGTTTGCGGAATTAGCACCTACGTTCTGCGCCAACGAGATGAAGATGATGTTGAAGATGAACATGGCGACTGGGCCAACGTAGTCCTTGACTATGTTCCATCTGTAATCCTCGCTTCCAACCTCATAACCGCCCTTTCGCCAGTAGTTGAACGTCAAACGCGCGCCCCAGATGACCGACAGAGCCATGACGTGATCAACCCTCGCGGCTGGCAGGCCATTCAGGTGCGCCCAAACATCGTAGTGGACGTTGTAGATGACGGGGAGGATGCTCCACAGACGGTCGACCTGCGAGTAGTTGCGGTTGATCTCGGCGACGACAAAGACGACAGCGGTCATAAACAGCGCGAAGGCGAGACCCAGCATGAGGGGGTTCGTCGAGGTGTAGACATTGAGCAGAGCATCACGGCTGTTGATGCTCTCAATGATCCTGTACGGCAAGTCGTAGAGCTGCGGGAGGTACGGCTGCACGGTTTTGCTGAAGTCAGCGCATTCGGGCAGCTTCTTTACAAGTGGCAGCGCCAGATCGAGGGAAGCGCGTGGCACAAGCATCGTTTCGCAGATTCTGAACAACAGAAGGCGATGGTAGGGACAGAAGCGCGCGCAATGACTGACGAGGGTCTTCGATGCGTGAAGACGAGATGACCTCATGGAAAATCTGACCCACTTGTACAGCTAAGCCGCGCTAAAGAGCACCAACTCGCGCCTTCCCTGTTCAACGCGCTCTCACGTGCAGGCCTATAACTTTTCTGCCTCCTTACAACTGCAAGCTCGATGATCGCCGCAACACGCCAAAATGACGAATGTGCTGTGCGTAGCGGAGAAGCCGTCGATCGCAAAGGCGGTCGCCAACCATCTCGGCGGTAGAGTAACAACTGTGCGTAGAAGACGTTCGCCCATGAACGGCAAAGGTGAGATGGGGCAGCTGACTTGACTCAGGACAGCGTTCGTGGTATTCAGTGGGTCAAGAACTACAGATTCAACTTTCATTTCCAGCAATGGGGACAGTGCAACGTCACGTTCACATGCGTTGCTGGCCATATTGTAGCTCAAGACTTTACCGAACGGTACAGGAAGTGGCACTCTTGCCCACCCGCAGATCTGTTCGAGGCTCCTATACAAAGCTTCATCGCGGAGGTGCGTTACCGAGCCTGACGGTACTTGTTCGTGAATCGATTAACACTCGATCAGGACAAGAAGGTAGTGGCAAGCAACATAGAGTCACAAGCTCGCGGTTCGCAGATTCTCTTCATCTGGACCGATTGCGATCGAGAGGGCGAGAACATTGGAACCGAGATTCGCGACATCGCCTTGAAGGTGAACCCACGACTTCGTGTTTACCGCGCGCGGTTTAGCAACATCGAAAGGGCGCAAGTTTTCTTCAAAATCACAGTTCTTCACACACAATGCTAATCTGCTCCAGTCATGTCATCCACGCTTCGCAGAACCCCGTACAGCTTGATGATGCCCAGTCAAACGCAGTCGCCGCTCGCATGGAGCTCGATCTACGTCTTGGTGCTGCGTTCACGCGCATGCAAACACTGAACCTGCAAAACATGATTCCTGTACGGAGCAACGAACGGGGCAAGCTGATTAGCTACGGCTCCTGCCAGTTCCCTACCCTCGGATTTGTGGTTGATCGATATCTTCGAGTGCGTAATTTCATTACAGAGGCCTTCTGGTACATCAAGGTGCATCACACCAGGGATGACGTGGAAGTCAAATTCAACTGGCAGCGAGGCCATCTTTTCGATCGCATCGCCGTTATCTTGATCTTCGAGAGGTGCCTGGTCTCGAAGACGGCAAAGGTTACGAAGATGGCCAAGAAGCCAACCAAGAAGTGGAAGCCGCTCCCTCTTACGACCGTTGAGCTGCAGAAGATGGGCAGCAAGTTCCTGCGTATGACATCGCAAGAAGTCATGAAAGTCGCCGAAGATTTATACACAAAAGGATGGATCAGCTACCCGCGTACTGAGACCGACCAATTCGATCGAGGCATGGATCTCCGCAGTATTGTCTTTCGACAGATCCAAGACAGCCGCTGGGGACCCTTCGCACAAGGCCTAATGAATGGCGGCTTCAACCAGCCGCGCATGGGTCGCAGCAACGACAAGGCACACCCACCTATCCACCCCGTCAACTACGTGGCCTCCAATGCGCTTCACAGTGAGAACGAACGCAAGGTGTACGAATTTGTCGTCCGTCGCTTTCTCGCCTGCTGTTCTGAGGATGCGGCTGGTGAAGCCACAGATCTCGAGATCGACTATGGGTCAGAGATCTTCCACGCGCACGGCTTACGGGTCATCGCACGAAACTACCTTGACGTGTACCCGTACGACAAATGGGAGAGTAGCCAACAACTACCGCAGTACACTGTAGGCGAGGCCTTCGAACCCACCGAAGTCAACATGCTCGATGGCAAGACGTCAGCACCTTCTTACCTCACCGAACCCGAGCTCATCGCTCTCATGGACGTCAACGGCATTGGCACCGACGCAACAATGGCCGAACACATTGCCAAGATCCAAGAGCGCGAGTACGTGATCGCACGACCCAAAGGCGGGGCTGCAGGTAATGTCGGCAACAACGCAGGCAGAGGTCGCGGCCGAGGAAGAGGGGGTGGTGCTCGAGGAGGCCGTGGCGGCGCAGCAGCGGGTCCCAACGGAGGCGGGAGAGCGGCAGTTGGCGGAGTGCAAGAGTTCATTCCAACGACATTGGGTATCGCCCTTATCGAGGGGTATGACAATGTGGGTATTGAGACCAGCCTGAGCAAACCGTTTTTACGCAAAGAGGTGAGCGATATATGAAGGGGGATGGTTGCTTCATCGAGTGGATATGCTGACCCAGCGCAGATGGAACTCCAGATGAAAGCCATCTGCGAAGGGCGGACGACGCGCAACGACGTCGTGCAACAGAACCTGGATCAGTACCGCGCCGTCTTCAACCGTACCGTGCAGCAGATCAACATTCTCAAATCTGTGAGTCACGACATTCTCCGAGCGTTACGCGTAGGAAAGGTAGGCTAATATAAGCGAGGCTATCACCAAGTACGTGGTTCAGGCGAATCACGGCTGACCTGTAGTCCACATGCAAACGCTTGCGCCAAACCAGATCCACTTGCGCCGGACGTGTCGCGGGATCTTTGCGAGAGATGCACACACGTGTGTAAGCTTGCTACTCCCCGCGCTCCACGGCGCACTCGATGCATTTCGCTATGCAGTGCCGCGATGTGTGCTTGTCACAAAGAGGGGCCTGCGCGTAGCGAACATCGGAGCGAGGTTGATAGCGGCACATGGTAATCCCGTGCACACTGATAAGGCCAATGGCTGTTGTGACTGCGAACGCATGGGGGCTCTGGAGGTTGGACGAAGGCTCAGGCCTCGGCTGGTCTCGGAGCAGAGGCAACAGCAGCACAGACTTCCAAGAGCGCCTCTGACAGGCGCCACGATGTTTGTGGAAAGACATCAGCGAGGTACAAACGCAGCTTTCCGATGTAACCATCATGACATTTGCGGCGCGCGCAAGGGCAAGGCACGCAAATTGATTCCGTCCCTGCTTCCAGCGTGGGTACCTGCTGACAGATGGGGCACCTGGCGATGACGGCTATGAAGAGGTGTGACACGCCGCTGCCAGCACAGCCAATCAGGCGGCAGTCGCGATGCCATGCGCCTGCCCGACACGCATCTGGTTCGTCCACTTCCTTGGTTCCCGACAGCCATATGCAGGTGGGACTCTACCAAACGCGGCGGCCCTTATCACGCAGCTGACTCCCACACTAAACACGACTACAAAGCACCCACCACGCGCACATTGAATATTGCACTCCTCACGAACACCCATCCTCGCTGCTCATTACAGCTTCTGCTCGCCACCACTTTGACGCGCCTCCTGTTTGATACGCCCGGTCCGCCTGCCTGCTCCCCGGATCGCCGATCCGCCAAACGCGCTCGAACCGGCCGACGACCAAGCAACGCCGCTGCAGCTTGCCCGTCGAATCGCCAGCACACAGCAGCAATTATCCCTATCCACCGCTGCCGAACCAGTCGCACAAGACAGCTCTGCTGCTGTCTCTAAACAAAGCCCGCCAACCCCTTTATCTGCGCAGCCGCTGCTCCGCTCAGACGCCGCCTTCTTGAGTCACCGCGCGTCAGCTCCTGCATCCAGACACTCAACTCCTTTCCCACCACAACAAACTCTACATCCGCAAATATGGCGACTATGATCCAGAAACCCGTCTCCAACATTGCTGCCGCCTTTGCTGCCCAGCAGGCCTCCTCCAACATTTCCATCGCCCACGACGGCGTCAACGCGGCCTTGACCGGCTCCCTGATGACGCCTCCGTCTTCAATATCGCCGACCCTTCCAGCGCAGAAGCGCAGGCCGGCCATGCCACTCGCTGGAAGGGTATACACGCCGGAAACAATGGACTTCGACCTGCAAGACGCGGTCGAGCACGCTGCGGCGCAAGATCAGCCCTCGGCACTGTCCAAGGAGGCGCTCGCCGGCCTCGACGCCACGCGTCAAATCACGGCTGCCATGTTGGCAAAGCACTACCTGCCTGCCATCATCGCCGGCCACGGTGCCATGCCCATCCGTGAGATGATGGCACACCTCACCCAGTCGGTCCCTGGCTTCTCGGGGCTAGCACCCGCAAAGGCGAGGAGGCTCGTTGTCGCTGCGCTGGAACATCGCGCTGGCGGCGGGATGCACGGCGAAGTCAAGTTCGAGAAGGTTGGCTGGGGTAGGTGGAGCGTCGCTGGCTCAACACAGGCCCGCGGTCTGCCCATCGGCAGCCTTCGTGCCTGCAGTGGAGCAACACCACCCGCCAGTGTGGACAGCACTGCTGGTGGACTGCATATCCCCAGGCTGCGTCAGGAGCGCGACGCGTACCAGGGCAGCTGGAATGCTGGCTCGTGGTCGCCGCCTCACAAAATGGCTGACGAAGACGAGGAGATGGCCGACCAGATGTCGCTCGACGGCTCCGACAACAGCACCGATTCTGACTCGGCGTCCGACATGGACCTCGGCGAAGACCTGGACGATGACACCGACCAGGAGGACTGGTCCCAGATGGGCCCACAGGTTTCGCGGGAGCCCCGCCGCGGTCCGCGGCGCGAGCATCGTGACTACAACTACCTAAGCCGCACGCAGTCGAGCAACCCGCGCTACCGCAGCATCTCGGCGCAAGGGCACTCGCTCCCACAAGGCAGCTTTCAGGGCGCCATTTCTTCTCGCACCCCTGCTATGGGCAGCACTCCTCTTCCTTCTCTCAAATTTACTGCAGCACCTGGAGTTACCGGCTCTGGAGCTGAGCGTGACGCAATTGAAGCCCTCCTCTCTATGGGCTCTATGCCTCGCGCCTAGGCCGATCTCGATCTCACGCCTCCTCTCGGCGAGAAGGCAAAATCATCCAGCGTTTCCAACATTCATCAACGCGCATTCGTCCAACATTCAACATTGCATGAGCAGGGGCATTATTGGTTTTCGAGGTTTAGTTGTTCATGGTTCGCGTTACATTAGCATCCCGCACCTCCCTCCACCGCGTTGGATCTCAACTGCGAGAGGGGCGATCCGTCAAGTGCTGATGTGGATCATTGCTTTTTTTGGGGGGGTGGGGGTTGCGGGTCATCTGGGCATCTTAGGGCACTCTAACACTTCACACTATATCCTCCTTATCCATGCGCCTCTAATTGAGAGGGCAGCATCTGGGTCGCGCAATCTGCTATCGAGCGGTACGACCAGTTCCCGTCGCTGGTCGGCTTTGGGAGAGCACCTGCGACACAGCGTTTTTGTACATATGCTCACAACGATACACTCTACTTGAAAAAAGTAAGAGCACGGGCGGTGGAAGAACGGTGACCAGCCCACAAAAGTGGCACCGAAGTGGTAACAATAATACATCTCTTGTTTGAGTATGGTCGCGTCTACGGGCGCGCCTTCTCATCACCACACAACTATGTGCCCCCCACATGTACCTTCCTTGTTTTGGATGCTTGTGCCTGCCACTCACAAAACCACGGAAGTCATCGTCATGCTAGAAGCGGCTTCGTACCGGCGGTAACCTTCTCCAACAACTGCACGTTCCTTTCCAATAATCTTGGCAAAGCTTGGCCGGCTCTACAACGTGTCAGATTAGGTGCTCTCAATAGGTCTCTCCATTGCACATGTTTTAATTATACCTCGAAGGCGGTCTGCATAGGCGGGGTGCACGCCACCTATGAGGCCTAGCCGGGCACATCATTGCCGAGTTGCTTCTGCCTGATCCTCCATCCATGACGGCTTCTCCCTGGACCTACCATAAGAATTTCATACAGCGTACAGCATGACAGAGTGTCCAATCTCCCAACTCATCACTCCAATCGCTTATGACATGCTGAAGCATCTTTACCTGGATCGGCCAGATCTAAACCGCCCTATATGGATCGATGCGATTTGCATCAATCAGTAGGGAATGGGGGAGAAGGCTCAACAAGTCTCTTTCACGCATCGCATCTATTCAAGAGCTGCTCTTGTCATGCTGTGGACTGGCAGAGCAATCCCTCAATCCCACTATTTTTTATCTCGCATGCCCAGCGTGAACAGTTTATGATGAATACACTGATAATAGGCTGATACGTTCCGGCAACGTGCCTGACTGGCCTAGGGACGATTTTTGCTGGGAGGCCCAAAGCACTTGTTACGAGACGCATTGTGTACGCGCCTACGGATGTTCTAGGAGGCTCGTGGGCAGATTTCGATGTCTTTCTTCGCTTCCTGTATGCTATCTCGTTCGAAAGAAGGGGCATTCTGTACAGCGACCTGAATGAGGTGAGATCAAAGCTGGTCGACTATGACATCCTCCGCAGGTTTTGAGAGAAGAATAGAAGTGTGTGTAGGACAAGCGCCAAATATGTTACATCAAACCAGATCTCGAATCCCCGAAGAAGAAGTAGATCGTATATGGGCAGTCTATAGAATCTTTGACACGGACCTACAGCGCAAGCCTGTGCCCCTCATCGATTACAATGTAAATGCGCGCCAGTAACTACGATGCACAATAGTCAGTTGCATGAGGGTCATCCTGAAGTTAAGCCAATACCTCTCTCTCCCAGAGATTCCGTCGTCAAAAGATCAATACCCCTTTCTCTCGTCATACTACCCAGACATCCAAAGGACTGAACGACGTCGATGGGTCATATGTGACACCTAGTCCTGGTCAACGAGCTATGTTTATGAAGATCTTCAAACTCTCCTCACACACGATTTGAAAGTTACCACACGTCGCGAACACAGCTCCGATAATCCTATAATACATACATATACGAAAGAACTTGGCAGTCTACTACGTGTGTGAGAGTTCTCGATTCAGGTGCGCATCGTTGACCGCGTGTATGGTAAGAGTTCATTAGTATCGGTTCTAGCAGTGCCGTGATTGTCAGTTGGTCTATCTTACTCAAGGTTCAACGGCAACACCGTAGACTGGTCGAGGTGAAGGCGAGTATTGTTGGTCTCTGACTAGATCGTCTTTCCTGAATCACACTTGCTTTTGGCGCTCTCTCCCTCTCTGCCTTGCGTTTGGCGACTTCCTTAGCCTTCTCTGCCTTCAGCTGTTTGCGCTCTACCTTCTCTCTTGCATGCGCATCGCGCTTCTCAGCCTTTTCCTTCTTATCTGTCTCTTACTTATCCCTTGCAAGCCTTATGCAGGTCTTGGCTTCTCTGAATAACTAAGGAGTCTACATTATTAAAGGCCCCTAGTACTCATATTGCTGCAGCAGGTCTAGAGACTTGCCCTTTGTTTTTCTCCTGTTCTTGGCAGCAAGAGCGTCAAGCAGACCCTCATTCTCGCTCTGCAGAGGCATGTTCTGTATAGCAATGTGGTGGAGCGATTGCTGAACGATTCATGCGTCCTTCTCTAAGGCACCACTCAACGCGCGTTTCATGACTGTATTCAGTTTGTGCCATGCTCCACCGCTGTATGTAGGGGCTTCCTCTAATGTGTTGCTAGAGGTGTCTGAGTTGTTGCAACTTGTTGGCAAACTAATTGAGTATAACGTCAGGGTTAAAGGGGTGTACACCTATTGCCTTGAACGAGCTGAAGATGTTCTTCGCACTAAAGCTGATTGCCCAAGCATCCCAAAATAGGCTGAAGAAGTCGGCTTTAGTTACAGGCACTAGGCCTTGATGATTGTGAAGGCGTGTTGCTAGCTTCTTTAAGGATGCTGTGCTGAGAGGCTTAAACATCACCACATTGAGCAGCTGCAGTGTGTGGGTACTGTAAGGTAGATAGATACTTGTCACGGAGCCTGTGGGACTATACTCAGGTGATCGATAGTATTTGATCAGTGGCTATCTATCCTATAACGAAAGTAAGGTTTATATACATAGGAAATATGTGTGGATCACGTGATCCTGGATAAGCGAGCAGCTGGCTGAGTGTCAGGCAGCTTGTTGATAAAGAACAGATAGAACAAGCTTCTAGTTAGACCCAGAGGTGCTTGTCCCGGTTTATCCGGGCCGGCAAGCTCCACACCCTCAATTGAGGTGCTCGATTGTGTGGCAACTAGACTACTTTCTTCCTAGTCTAGAAGGACCTAGACAAATCTAGACTAGCTTTGTCTAAATAGGAAGCGTATAGCCTAATAGAGATAAGTAGGCTGGCGGATGGATAGGGTATGCTTTTTTACGTTTTGGCTTATAGCTTCTTAACTAGCAGAGATACGCTTACATAATCTATTATTTAATAGAAGCGCCTAGTATTGCGCCTTCTAATAAAAAAAGAATTAGCT